CTTGAACCACATCCCCAGCCCCTGAGTGCCAATCTTTTTTCCCTGTCAGACTTCAGAGGACAACTTCAGCTCTTGCCTCTCTTCTAAGCCCCCTTATCTTAATGTGGTCTTCTTTTTTTAAATATTTTTATTTTTAGTTGTAGTTGAACACAATACCTTTATTTTTTATTTATTTATTTTTATGTGATGCTGAAGATCAAATCTAGGGCCCTGCACATGCTAGACGAGCGCTCTACTGCTGAGCCATAACCCCAGCGCTAATGTGGTCTTCTTTAACCCCTGGCCTCTTGTACTTTTGGCCAGCAGGGGCCCACTTTCTGTAATCCCTCCCTTTTATCTCTGCCTTCTCCAGGGGCCCATGAAACCTCAGTCAGCTCCCATTTAACAGCATGTGGCTGAAGGTGAAGGAAGCTGTAATCCTTCTTGTCCCCTTGAAGCCTCACTTAGTTGGTACTTAAAATATGTGTGCCTCACAGGTAGATGGGATTGGATAAGGTGAAGCTTAATGAGTGGGGGCTCTCTTCATGTTGGCTCCCCTCATTAGGATTCACCATGCCAGGGCCTGACTCCATCCATGATGGGTTAAAATAAAGCTTCTCTGGCTTAAAGGCATTTATTATGAGGCAGAAAATGCAATTAACCTTGAAAAGTTTAGGTCACTGGCTCAGACTTGCTTGCTGCTTGCTGCCTCAGTCCCTTCGCTCAAGAATAGGCAAAACATAGAAAACCAGAATCACACATTCCAGGGAAGAGCAAGAAGAATTCTCCCAGCCTCCATTGCAATATGATTCTAAGAGCTTCAGGGATTGTTCTGTGCATCATATGGAGAGAATAAATGGATTTTCTTACCTGAACTGTTACAAATATGTGTAGGTATTGTTGTGGTTCATAAAATTCAAATTTATTTTTAACTGAGTACTTAATATAAGTTACTTTGACCCAATAATGTCTTGGGAGGAGAATAAGCTCTGAGGTTTAACTGGAGGATAAGGATTTGGGTGCTCTGCCTCAGCTCACTTGTCCTGAAGATAAACGTTCTCAGGCATGGAGCTCTGACTTTGTGACTAAACAGTAATCACCTGTCAGTACCAGTGCCTGTTTCTGCAGTATAATCAATGGCTCAACATTCAGCACACAAAGTGCAGTGTAGCCATAGTGCCAGGGTAACTACAGGCAAAGGGAAGAGAAGATAGAAGTCCCTGGGCTTTGCCATCCCACCAAAAGAGAAGACTGGCTGCACAGAATATTCCAGAAACCCCTGAACTTAGGGATAGGAGGCCGTGGGGAGGGTCTCTTAGAATACAGCTGGCATCTGTAAGTGCAAGGGGACTCCTGAGACCAGGAAGTTGTAGAATTCCGAAAATTTTTCATGCCAATGGCTTATTGTTGATGTTCCAGCTGCAAGTGACTCCACCCAGAGTCCACCTCAGGCCACCCCTCCAGTCACAGGTGTTAAGTACCCCAAGGGAGGAGCATGTTGTAGAAAGTATCTCCACAGTGCTGAGTCATTCTGCCTTTGTATAGGCTGGAAATTTGAACTTCATGGAGATGGGCTGCCAGAAGCAGCTCTGTTCTACCTCCTATCCCCACTCCCTTCACCCAGCCCTATCCCTGGAGAAACAGCAAAGGAAGATGCTTCTTTCTATGGGTCTACGAAAACAGCCTCATAGCCATGCATCTACCACAGGCAGATGGGAACCTGAGGGAATGATGACCTCATGGTGGGGAGCACACCAGGGGAACCCACCAGATGCTGAGAAATAACCAGAGAAAGATCCTTTTTATAGCTACAGGGAATATGTAATGGGATAGGTTCTTGTTTCCTAATTCCTACAAGAGAAAAGTCATGCTTCCATTTTCTTCCTGTGAAGTGGGAAAACTCTATAGTTGGATCTACTAAATCTAAGGTTCTTAAGCAGCTGAGAGCCTTACAAGTACATCTGAGCTGCCAGCCCCTGAGAATGAGTTGTGGAAGGCAGGATTCTTATTAAAAGTCCTTGTGATTTCCATGACAGAAGCAGTTTCCCCATGGCTATTTCCCAGGCTCCTATAATGTGGTTGCTGTATGGATGGAAGCAAGCTCCTTCAGCCATTAAAATTCATGCTAGCTGATCCCAAATGTAGTAGCCAGCTTGGTGCAAAGTAAAATTTGTAGAGGAAAATAATCACAATATGCATTTTGTACAATTCCATTTCCGTTTTTCTGAAAGAGATAATAGTGTAGGATGTGTTGCGTGGGACAGAGTTGAACATATTTCCTCCACTCTCAGAGAGCCTTAAACACAAGTTTAAGCTCTGAGGCATCAGTGAGCAAGTGGTGAGACCCAGTTTGTGGCCCACACCCAGGAGTCCTGATGTGATTCCTAATCTCTGCTCTGAGAGTAGCTCTTTCTTGTGGGAAACCAAAGGGTATGGAAATGGGACCACTACTTCAGAAGTAGAGAGGGGAGCCAGGGGTGGTGATGCACACCTCTAATCCCAGCAGCTCTGGAAGCTAAGGCAGGAGGATCACTAGCTCAAAGCCAGCCTCAGCAATTTAGTGAGGCCTTAAGCAACTCTAAATAAATAAAACAAAATAGGGCTGGGGGTGTAACTGTCTCTAAATAAAACAAAAAAGGGCTGGGGGTGTAACTCAGTGATTAAGTACCTCTGGGTTCAATCCCTGGTACCACCGCCCCCCCCACACACACACACACAGAGGAAGTGTGAAGCCAGCAGGAGAGGGAGGCACCCACATGGTCCCTCCTCCTTTAGCTGAGCTGTCTACCACTCATCCTTCCATCCCTGCAAAGATAAGCTTCTTAAGATATTTGTGAGAGGTTTGGTATCCTGCCCTAGTTCTCCTTCAATAGTGTAGGGTGAGCCAGCAGAAGAGGCTGAGGGAAGGTGTAAACCTTTCATGAACAGGCATGTCTTTAGACCTGTTTCTTGGAACCAGGCCAGATCCTTCTGTACCACGGCCCTGGTACACATATAAATCTCACCTTGGTATAGGTGAGATCTTTGGATCTTATAAGACGGCCTCAATTTGGATACAAAGTTAGACATGGACAGGCCAGAGTGAGTCAGCGGAACTACAGAGGTCATGGGGGACAGGCCTAGAGATGGATGATTTGCAGGCCTTCAGATGTTCTGACAGTTCCCTGCAAGTCATTCTTCCAGTCATCCTAGATACTCAGGCAGGTCTCTGAAGTAGAAGTTATGGGTTATAAACAACCTAACATCTTAACGTTTTGTAAAACCTTGTAGCCAACCTTCTACCTGCTATTCATTCAATAATTTATTCAACAAATAACCATTGAAGACCTCCTGCCTTCTATCAGGCCCTGTGCTGACCTGGGGAAAGGCCCCATTTTCATGAAAATTAGTCTCAAAAAGGAGCAGACAACAAATAAGTAAACAAGTCAAAAAGATAATTACAGACTATTATAAGTGCTATGAAGACCATAAACAGAATAATGAGATGGAAAGCTAGAGAAAGGCCATCCTTTAGGGGAAGACCTCTCTGCAGAAGGGGCTTTTGAACTGAGACTTCAAGGATAAGAGTGGCTAAGAAGAGCTATAGGAAGAGCATGCCAGGCAGTGGGAAGACAAAGACACAGGCAGAAAAGCCTTGGTGTGTTCAGGAACAGGCCACAGCAAGAATGCAGTAAGGAGAATGATTTGGGATGAGCTCAAAGAGAAGGCAGGAGCCAGGCTACATAGGGCATTACAGGCCATGACCAGAGATAGGACTTTATTCTGAGAGCAATGGAAAGACCCTGGCAATGTGAAACAGAAGTGAGGAGTGTAATTAAAGATCACTGAATGTTCACTATCACATTGTTTGTAATAGATTAAAACAAATTCCATCAATGTGGAACTGGATAATGTCTGAGGCATGTTAGTATGCACTGTTATAGAAGGATTTTCAAGATATCCTAAATGGGGGGAAAAAAAAACAGAACAAGAAACAGAGTAAAATATAAAATTGTGCTACAGCCAGGCACGGTGGCACATGCCTATAATCCCAGTGACTGAGGAGGCTGAGACAGGAGAATCTCAAGTCCCAGGCCAGCCTCAGCAACTTAGCAAGACCCTGAGAAACTTAAAACAAATTTTTTAAAAGGACTGGGGATGTAGTTCAGTGGTAAAGTGCCCCAGTGTCAACATAATAAATAATAATAATAATAATTTACTGCAAAGAGGGACTAGGAATGTAGCTGAGTGGTAGAGCTCTTGCTTAGCATGTGTGAGGACCTGGGTTCTATCCCCAGCACTGCAAAAAAAAATAGTGTGAAGATGCCAGGTGTGGTGGCACATGCCTGTAAATCCAGTGACTTGAGAGGCTAAGGCAGGAGGATTTCAAGTTCAAAGCCAGGCTTAGCAACTTAGCGAGTCACTTAGCAACTCAGCAAGACCCTGTCTCTAAATAAAATATTAAAAATGGCTGGGATGTGGATCAGTGGTTGAGCACCCCGGGTTCAATCCTCAGTACCAAAAAAAAAAAAAAGTTTGAAAATGTATTTTAAAGAGGAGATGTCCACATATATAGGTTTGCCTATGTAGAAAATATCACATAAAAGATACACAAGAAGTTGGGTTGCTTCTGGGGTTAGAAACTGGTACACAGGGAGACTAAAGTAGAAGCGAAACTAACTCTTCCAAGCTGAAGTTGCCTGTTCCTCCCAGTTTAAGAGATATTTGTGCATTAGACATTGGAACTTGGCTTACTGACTCTGTGCCGAATTCTTTGACATTTTAGTGGGGGAGGGCAGGGGGAGGGGGGAGCACACAGGGTGGGGATGGGGGGCAGGAGGGGTTGTTGGGCTCCTTCCAAGTGCTGAAAGCCTCAGAATTCCAGAGAATGTCTAATGCAGGACCCAATTGTGAACATGTGCCCTCTTTATCTCCATATGCAACAGCTATAAACAGTTTTTAATGACTATAAAAACAAAGTCATGCTGAAGAAGACCACTCATTTCTCAATGGAGCTTGCTTTTTTTTTTTTTTTTTTTCAGAGAGATGCCAAAGGCCAGTACCTGTTTGACCTTCTTTGCCACCACCTGAACCTACTTGAGAAAGACTATTTTGGGATCCGCTTTGTGGACCCAGATAAGCAGCGGGTAAGTCAAAATTCAAAGCACAAAGGGAGCAGAAGGTCAGTTAATAAGCCTGAATTCTTAAATTGTTATTCATATTCAGAGTTTAGCCTTGGGAGTCAGGGACCAGCCAGACCCTGCACTTGAATGCCATTGCTTTAAATCATAGCATTAGACCTGGAAGCACCTTAGCTAGGGCTCATCTAGAGAAGCCTGGCATTTTACAAATGCAGAAATGGCAGCCTAAAGAGCTTAAGTGATTTGCCCAAAGTAGCCTGGTTTGAGGCACAGCAGATGGGATAGTGTCATGGTCTTAGGGCCAAGTGCACTGGGTGGGCTTTTCCTGCCCCCTTTCTAGTAAATGGACTGTAATTCGATATTCTGGTTAGGCAGGGCCTCACTGAGGCACCACGTCAACCCCATTTGGCAGGACAGAGAGACTGACATGGGCCCTTCAGAACCTTGCACATCCTGCAGTTCCAGCTCTGCTCTGTGTAACAAAGGCAGTTCTGCAGATAGCAGGCGTTGACAAGACTGTGATGCTCCAGACAGATACAGGAACAAGCCCATTATCCTTAGCCTCTACTTCATCTCCAGCTTCACCTCCCCTGACCTTCTCCTCCCTACTGTAGTGAAGCCAGACAATGCTGTGGCTCTCCAGACGCACCATGCCTTCTTTCCAGAGCCTTCATCTTTGCAGCTCTGCTGCTGGAAAATGCTTCTCCTTTTCCTCACTTCTCTGCACTCCACACTTTCCTTCTGGCTACCTCCATTTCACACTTAAGGTCTTACCGTGGACTCTCACTTCCTCAGGAAGTCTTCTCTACCCCTGCTCTGTATTAAGGGCCTTCTCTGGACCTGTGCCCTGCCATAGTACTTATTATACCTTGCTGCAATTACCTGTGTTCCCTGCAAATGTGTGAGTTCCCCCAAGGGCATGGACTTAGATTATCTTACTCATCACTGTCTTCCATGTAACCAGCACAGAGCCGGGAATGTTGTTGATGCTCAAGGAGCATTTTCTGAAGAAGGAAGGGATGAGTGAGTTAATGATTTAGAGTGCCCTATCTCTCACTTCCATCTGCCCATCTTGCCCATATCTGCAGTTGCTATAATTTCTGTTCATCCTCCCTTCGCTGTCTGTGGGGATGTGCTCTTCACATCCACATTAAAGTGGGAAAATATGCAGAAGCATCCAGCCTCTCACCACCCATGTTTATCTGCCATTTTCCAAAAAAACAGTATCACAAATACCAGAGGGCCCTCCTTTTATGGGTCCAGGAGTTCCTTCAGCTTCAAACATGGGGTTTGTCTCCACCATCTTCAGGGGGCAGATCTCTGCACTGTGGGGGGTCATGACACTAAGTGGATATGCCCCTCACCATGTCAAAGTTGTGCTGTTTTTCTTTGATGCCCTGAACCATTTTGTCTTGCAGGTTACATCTAGGGTTATGTACTAAACACATGAGCTTCAGGAAAGAATCTAAAGGACCATGTCCCTTTCCTTTGACTAGCCCTGCCCCAGCTTTTCTCTGATGTGTTTCATTCCTCCCAGCCCCCAGAGTTCTGAGCAGCGTCAGTGTTTGGGAAGTAGTGGTGAGGTCAGCCCTTCACTCTATAAAAGCTCCACTCAATGACATAAATACGCTTCTTAGCTCTAGACTAAGCAGAAGGCCAGAAAAAGTACGTTGATACTAGGAAGCTACATGTCCCTCACCCTACTGTAGGAGCCATTCACAATAAAATGGTAGACCACTTTGTTATATCTAGTGTGTGTTTGTTTGGTCCGAGCTTTCTGTCCCTAAAAAGGAAGGTCCATTACCCTAAAATCTATTCATTTCCTAGAGGTTCTAGTGTGTGAAACAAAAAGGGCAAAATGTGGGCTGGCATTGTAGCTCAGAGGTAGAGCAGTTACCTAGCATACGTGAGGCATTCGGTTTGATCCTCAGCACCATATTAAAAAATAAAATAAAATAAAGGTATTGTGTCAACCTACAACTAAAAAAAAATAAATATTTTTTAAAAGAAAGGGCAAAATGTGTCCTGTAGATTTATTTATTTGTTTGTTTTTTTTTTAGTTAGACTAGAATGTACTTGAGGAGAATCAGAACATACATGGAGGTGGTAAAGATTAAAAGGTAGAAGAGCTAGAGAGAGAAGGAAATGGGAAAGAGGAGGACTAAACATTTATGACATGCCTACTGTGTGCCAGGCTCTGCTGTGAACACACACCAGGCCCTTTCAGCTGATGAACACTGAACACTGAGTTGTCTCAGGCACTAAGCTAAGAGCTGCACATATGTTATTTCATGTAATCCTTAAGATTAGTGAGACCAGTGTTTGTAATTATGTTACCCATTCTTCAGGTGAGTCAGTGAAGTCTCTGACAGGTTAAGTAACCCCCAACCAAGATAAATAGCAAAGCCAGTCTCAAGCTCAGACCTGTCTGAATGCAGAGCCTGTGTGGTTTCTCAGATGCCCCACTAGAATCACACCTGGCAGCCGTGGCAAGCAGTGCACTCTGCAACTGGGGGTTGGGGGGTGCTGTGCTGGCAGAGGCTTGAGAGGGCGTCGAGGGTCTTAGGCAAACAGACTGGTAAAGAGAAGTTACCCTATTCCGTCAATTCATAGTGGAGGTGAAGGAAGTAAGCTCCCAGCTCCCCAGGGTATAAAGGTAGTCACAACCTGGCGCTAGGGTCCATCCCCACATCACTGCTTGCTCAGTAGGAGTCTCCATATGTCTGGAACTCTCCTTGTCTCTCCTGAAGGAGCTGCCCTCATGCCCCTTCCCCATTGTTTCTGACTCAGACCTAGAGCCTCTGCCTTCCTTTGACTTTCCAGTGCACCCTTTCAAAGTCCCAGTGTCTGAAGATTGTATCACTGTGACCCATTTACTCAAATGCAGCAGGAAACCTCCCTCTGTGAATCTTCTTTTCCTCCTCTCCTGATCCTTTCTCCCAGAGCCTAACATTATTAGTTTGCTAGGGATTCTGGGACCCAGATTTAACCAGGCAGCTGAAAAAGCAACTCTGGGCATTATCATATTCTTGGGATCCTCAGAGTTCTCCACTGGACCCTTAACACCCCTTGGACAGGCTGTGACAGCTTTCCACTCCCTTCCCAGCCCTTCCTAACTTCCTCCAGCCTCAGTCCTTTCTTGAGTTCTCACTACACACAAGCTAAAGTCTTCTCTCCAGCTATTGCCAAGGGGAGTTGCCTTTTTGTCATTCAGCTCCTTCTGCCCTCTGCTGATAATGCCTTTTCAGAGTCCTTCCTTTTAATTTCTATCTTCCTTTGTTTATTTCTTTTAATCTCTCAGTCTAATGGCTAGGGCGTTCTGTTTACTGAGCCCCTGACATTTGCTATGTTCCTTCACTGTTCACAGTTCCGGTGTGCTTTGAACAGACAGGCCTCCTCCGCCTTCACAGGCACAGCCTGGAACCCCAGTTGTTTCTGTACAATTTCATCTCTTGCCTTTGCTTCCCTGCGAAGCGGAGCCACGGTGGGCCATGTAATGTGAGAAGGACCTCTTAACCACATTGAGTGGCTATAATGAGTTGCCAGCCTCGTGGGAACTCAGATCAGAGGAAGCAAGAGAGCAGAATGTCAGCCCAGATTATCCATGTAGAGCTGACGGACGAACTGGCTCTTAGTGGGTCCATTAACTACATGACCCACAGCCCAGCCCAGAAGGTAAGAGCGGGGAATTGAGGGAGGCCAGGATACCGTCTGCATGGCCTTGGCCGCTTTCCTGCCAGAGGGAGGACTCTGCCAAGACATTACACTAAAGGGAAATAGCCAGAAAAAAGGAAAGCGTGGACCCAGTCCCCTTGTCCATTTAGCAGCTATGTGTTGAGCACTGTGCTAGGCACAGGTGGTAATTAAGATAGTTTCCTGCCCTCCTGGAGCCTACATCTATGGCCTTAAGCTACTTATGGGCAATCAAAACCCAAATAATAGCAGTTGTAGCCCTCTGCAAATTGAAAAGTTACCTGCTTAGCATAAAAGCAAAAAATATCAATAATAAATTGTATGAAGGACCCATGTAGAATTAAGAAACAGATATAGAATGATCTTGTTGCTTCCTTCCCCAAAACATAAGTAGCATGGGTAAAAATGTATCACCACTGTATCCTATGAACATCCCAGGGAACAGGATAGAATTCTACACATTGGTTGTGGTTAATTATCTTATGAAACTTAGACTTTAAACATCCCCGTATGCCAAGGAATCATGAGTATGTGTTCTCTAACACAAGGTTTGGCAATCTATGTTATTCAAACAAAAATGGAAATATATGCCAGCCATCTCTGACTTCTCTCCATTTATGAAATTTCCTCTTGTCAATACTTTCTAGAGTTGCTGCCAATAGCCTCTATCCCACTCTTTTGCCCCCCACTCCTCGCAAAAACAAATTCAGTACCCAACACACAGCACCCAGTGAGCGCAGCATTTCCCTGCTTAGGCCGGGTGGGCCTTTGTCCCCACCACACAGATGTACAGTCATTGATGCCTGCTGGCATGCCAGGAACATGGCTCAGAACATTGGCACCCTGCTTTATAAAGAAGGCAGACTTTGCAGGGAAGCCCAGAGATGGCATGTAAAGCTGGAGCTATTCCCTGCCTCACAGCTGGCTCCATGGGGCGCTTATTTCAGAAAATCATATCACTCTTTACTCTCCAAGCCTATATTTCACAAGCTTTTGGACAGCTTTTACCCTAGGCTATAATCTGTCTAGTTATTTCAATTGGATAAAACAAGTTACACTTGACACTGCTTCTCATTAGGGTTTTCATGTCCTGCGTTCTCTGTTTCAGCATTGGTTGGAGTTTACAAAGTCGGTTGTGAAGCAGCTGAGATGTAAGTATTCTGTATGAAAAAAACTAAAGCCTCACCCTTGGGGCGGGTGGACGCGCCTCCCAAATGTCAGAAGTCTACATATATAAGTTTCCCCTCCTCTGAGTAAAAGCTGGCCCTAATTGAGGATTTTCTTCTGGAGGTTCAGCAGCCTCAGCACATTGGGGGGACATGTTCTGAGAGAGGGTCTCCCCTAATGGATTCCTTTCTCTCTGCAGCCCAGCCTCCATTCACCATGTGCTTCCGTGTGAAATTTTACCCCGCAGACCCTGCTGCTCTGAAAGAAGAAATAACAAGGTGAGGCTGCACACACTGCCCCCAGCTACTGAGACCTGTCAGAAAGGGCTGTGACCTCAGATCCTCTGATGTGGACACTCCTAACTCTTTATGAAGGAACTATTTAGAAAGAAACCCTTTCTACAAGAACCCACTTCTGTATTTCATTGCCACATTCTTTCTTAGCTCACCCTCAGTGGAACCAGAGCAGCATGAACTTCCTTTAAATGTGAATACTTCATCTCTGCCTGCTCACTCTGAAGGGGTCTAGAGGAACTAAATAATCAAAAGCATCTTTCTGGTACCTATGATGTGGCTGCTTTAGACGTTTTTGGAGAAAGCTGGGTTGCTTCTTATTTTGGAAGGTAGACTCCAAAAGTCTAGTGGAGGAAGAGCCAAGGCCTGATATTGAAAGACAGGCTGGGAAATACGGAAGATTCTAAATCCAACTGTGTAAACTCTGGTGTGCCATTAGAACAGGTCCGTGATAAACTCTTTATTGTGAGGATCATGTTCTGAGGCAGGCAGACAACTACATAACATGAATTCTATCTCGTCCAGCACCACTCAAGGATGAGAAAGAGCCTGTGTGCCCACAACCATCCTGCAAGAGGGTGAGTGAATAGGAGCTTCAGAGCTTCCCTAGGACTTTGTACATCGGAGCCAAATTCACACTAAAAGTCTCACCTCTCTCACCTCAAAGATTCAGGACCTCTCTATAACAGGGAGTCCTTATTTCGACATAAGCAAAATCTTGATATTACCTATAGCTGGTGGGGGCCATAGGCGAAGAGTAATGCCAGGGAGTTGTAGAACTGAGGAAGAGATGGCACCAACAGCTCAAATCCCTTCTCTGCAATCTTAGAGATGGCAAAGATAGGAATGAGGCTATTGCTGTCATATCAATGGCTTGTCCTGCACAGACTTGGAGATCTATTTCTGGATCCTAAACTACTTAGGAAAATCCCAAAGAAAAGAAAGAGGGAAAAAGAAAGGAATAATATAGACTTATTTTCATTGCCATTCTGAAGAGCATGCTTTCCATCAGGTGAAAAGAGCAAAAGGTGTGGTGGCATACACCTCGTATCCCAGCTGCTTTGGAGGCTGAAGCAGGAGCATTGCAAGTTCAAGGCCAGCCTGGGCAATTTGCAAGAAACCTGTCTCAGAATAAAATAACATAAAATAAAAAGGGCTGAGGATGCAACTCAGTGGTTCAACACTTGCCTAGCATGTGTAAGGCCCCGGTTCAAATCCCAGTGCAAAAAACAAAACCAAAACAAACAAAACAGAAGACCAGGGAAAGAGAAAAGAGCAAAAGTTTCCCTAAGAAAGGAAATCAGGAAATGGAAAAGAAAAGAACAATGAACAGGAAGCAGTATAAAGAAAATAAGTAGCACAAGGAAGGAAGGGGCTTCTTACATGCGCCCAGCATGGGTTGTGGGAATCTTCCTCTGATGGAGTCACTTACTTTAAGATGCACCCACTTACTTTAAAGCACTGAGGATAGTGAGGTGTGTAGTAGCTAGAACCAAACCCCATGCTCCCTGTGGGGCATAGAAACTGCAGGCTCTACCTATGCTCATAAAAGTGGGGTGACTCCCACTTGTGTCTAAAAACTAACCCCAGGGGCTGGGGCTGTAGCTCAGTGGTAGAGCTAGCATGCAAGAGGCACTGGGTTCGATCCTTAGCACCACATAAAAATTTTTAAAATAATAATAATAAAGTAAAGGCATTCTGTCCATCTACAACTACAAAAAAAAAAAAAAACTAACCCCATCCATATTAATAAGCAACCCTGTAGCTTCAGACAGTAAATGAGAGCAGAACCACTATGTTTCACAACTTAACCAGAGGGGAGTTTTGTTAAAGTGCTAGTCCACTTCAGCTCTGAGCCCTAGCCCTCATTGAAGGTGCCAGGGGAGACCCCTGTGTGCCTGTTCACATTTCCCAAACAAACTTAACATGTTCTTGTTGAAAGCCCAGTTCCTCACATCCTAACACCAAAATCAGGATTACCTGGTCTCCACTTCACTGAACCAACAGTGGGGCTAAAAGGATTGATCTAACGCAAATCTGTGAGCTGTCAGTGAGTAACATGGCTTTCCTTGATTGAAAGACAAAAATATGTGGTTCTACTGGTCTTTAGGAGGAGTTCTTAATACAGTTTTCCAAATCAAATGTCACTATCTCATATTAATGTTCAGACCCTCCTACCCAAGAAGCAGAATAAACCTGGGAGCTCAGGTCCAACAAGTTATTTTTTTTGGCTACTGGGCCCGGACATGATATTTAACTTCTCTGACCTTTGGATAACTCATTTATAAAATGGGGCTAATAATATCTATTCTTCTTAGGATTGTTGGCAGGATTAACTACTATACTAGTGTATTTTGCTTCTTGATATACCCCCAGTGAGCCTTTCTCCGAGCAACAGCTCAATGTGTTTGCTGCTAGATTGATTACATGCTCCATGTAAGTGCAGCATTGGGACCATGGCCAGGCCTCTCACCAAGTCAGCAAACCTGGACACTGGCAGGTTTATGAGCTTCTCTCCCATCTGCATGCATGCGTGCTAACCACCTTGGACAATTTCCCCCTCTCTTCACCTTACCAGCCTTCTTTCCCAGCATTGACAGTGGCATGAACCACAGGGTGCCTTGCCCTGATTTGTGTTGTTCATGCCACCCCTTCCCTGGGGCATTCTGCAGGGCCATGGAATGAGCTGTGTTTCTCATTCATGTCCCTACTGATCTTAAGAGAGTAGATACCTTCCCCAGCCTCACTCAATACCCATAATTCATTCCTGGCTTAGATCCCTTTATCCCACCTTCCTGCCAAACTAATTTAGCTGTCAGTGTGTTTTTTTTTTTTTTTTTCCTGGCAATGTCGGTCCTAAATTTCACTGCCATCTCAGCCATTCCTATAAAGCCAGATTGAGAAAAGGGGATGAAGCAGGGAGTGAAGAACTGCACTTCAATTCATGTCTTGGATTCTTCCCAGAGGATAAATTTGGTTTCCAAATCCTGATTAATTTCTTTTGTCATTTTTAAAAGTAATAAATAGATTTTCTTGTCTAGGCTGGAGAGAAGACTGATAAAATGGGGGATTAGGCACCAGATTTAGCTTTCTCCGGGACTGCAGGTATATAAACTCTTTGGAAAGATCAAGTGATAGAAGGAAACAGAGTACAAGTGGAGCCCCACCTTACAGGGAAGCAAAGTGTCTGCCACACACCAGGGGCTCGAAAGACTTAATACAGTGAGTGACTGTGTACATTCATCAATGGCATTTTAGTCAGTTTTTTCACCACTGTGACAACAGGAACTAACAAGAACAATTTTAGAGGAGAAAATGTGTATTTAGCATTCACAGTTTCAGAGGTCTTAGTCCATAGATGGCTGGCTCACTCCTCAGGGCCCTAAGTAAGGCAGAACATCATGGCAGAAAGTCATGATGTGGAAAATGGCTCAAGACATCACACCAGGAAGCAGAGAGAGAGCCACTACTTCATTCACTGGTACAAAATATATGTACCCCAAAGGCTTGCCCCCAGCCAAACCCTACTTACCTTTGGTCACCATCCATTTAATCTCCATTAGGGGATCGATGCACTGATTAGGTTAAGGCTTTCATAACCCAAACATTTTACCTCTAAACTTTCTTGCATTATCTCATACATGAGCTTTTTTGGGGACAGACACCTGATATCTAAACCATAACAAATGGAGTCATTAGGTCAATTATTCTTTCAGTGAACATCATTTGAGCCTAGCTTAGGCTAAAATGGATTGGCAAACTTTTTCTATAAAGGGCCAGATAGTAAGTATTTTGGTTTTGGGGGGGCCATACCTTCTCCATCGCAGCTATTCAGTTGTGTCATTGTAGTGTGAAAGTAGCCTCAGACAATACATAAATGAATGAGCAAGTCTGTATCCAAATAAAATGTTATTTCATTAGAAAGTCTGGCAGTGAGCCATAATTTGCTAACCCCTGGTTTAAGAAATCATAAAGACCTGGGTTCAAATCCTGGATCATTCTTAATTTATAGACAGGACAAGCAACAGTATCCATGAGCACTTAGTTTCCCCCGTCTATTAAACGGGAACAAGAATGGCAGTTATCTCATAGAAGTGTTTTAAAGATTAGCTCATTAAGTCCCAAGTTTCCAATTCTGTGAATATTTCAGTGAAATTGATACAGGTGCATTAAAATCAGTTGGAAATCATAATCTAAAGCTTATGTATCCTTTATATATGCATTCATATATATGTACAAATGTGTATTTTTTTTCAAACATTCTAATCAGTCACCTGTTTTCTCAAAACAACAGAACTCTAAAAGTGTATGTTTATTTCAAAAGTTACCATAAGTATATTTGGATATAAATAGGGGTGTGCAGGGCTGGGGCTGGGGCTCAGCAGTAGCACACTTGCCTGGCATGTGTGAGGCACTAGATTTGATTCTCAGCACCACATATAAATAAATAAAATAAAGATCTATCAACAACTAAGAAGAAAAAAAATAAAAATAAATAAATAGGGGTGAGCATGTAGAACAGTGCAGTGTGGGGCACCCAGAATGCACTCAGTAAATGTGGGTCTTCATCATTATCACCTTGATTACCATATAGCTATCTGTCTCCCCCCACTGAAATGTTCATTCCATAAGAGTGAGGTCTCAGTTCTGTTCCCTTGTGCATTATTTCCTGTCACTGTGGCAGAAAAGAAAGGGGCAGGCTTGTGCCACACTGTCTCTTGAAGCCATCCGTGGATTCTTCCATGAGCTCATTTCTTCTTGTCCTCTAAAGAAGGTGGTTTGTTTCTTTAGGATTTGGACTTGCCCCTCCTTCCCCTTCCCTCCCTTCCCTCTCCCCTCCCTTGCTTAAGAATGCCATGAGCCAGGTTGGGCACGCCTGTGATCCCAGTGGCTCAGGAGGCTGAGGCAGGAGGATCATGAGTTCAAAGCCAGCCTCAGAAAAAAGCAAGGTACTAAGCAACTCAGTGAGACCCTGTCTCTAAATAAAATACAAAAAAGGGCTGGGGATGTGGCTCAGTGGTCAAATGCCCCTGAATTCAATCCCTCGTACCAAAAAAGAGGCTTTATCCTTGAACTCCCTACAGCTGTCCTATCACCAGAAGTCAATAGGAACCACCCCTGGCCCCAACGGTGCAGAGACTTGTCTCCATTCTGGTTGACCTGAGATCCTGCCAAGCTCCCATCAAGACCACAGCTCTCAGTGTGAGGGAGCATCTCCCCCCTGGAGTGGGGCTGGGAGCTGCAATTGGAAGCTTTAGTGGGGTCTTTGCAAACCACAGCAGCACCCCTGCACACAGACCCTGAAGAGCTCCCCGCAGGAGGATGGATGTTCCTTTGCCTGCCCAGATTTGTTTTTAAATATCTCCTTTAGTCCAGTATGTTCTGTCCCTGAGTATTGGGCACCGATGAGCAGAACAGCATGGGAGGATTGGTGGTTGAATCCAGGCCTGGGGAGTGATCAGTGAGTAAGGGGCAAAAGGTTTGCATCCACATCCTGCCAAAGCCTGGGGAAGGTGGGAGTTGGAACAGTGAGAGGCAGAGAAGTGCTAGCTTGCTGTCTCCCACACGCCGTGTGGCATTTCACTGTGGGAAGCAAAGTGAAGACAAGCTTGATTTGGTAGATCCATCTTAATTATTCACTCAGCATTACTCTTTTTTCCTTCGGTTTTTCTTGGCAAACTCAGGCAGAGTGGGTTTGGTAGGAGGAGGGAAAAAGGTTCTTGTTAACGTCCAAGCTACCATTCTCACCTTCCCTTTGGTTTGAGGAAGATGGTCCATCCCAATGTGGTAAGAGGATGCTTTAGAATTTTCTTAGGACACTGCTTCATAAGCTTTCATCTACGTACCAATCACCTGGGGATCTTGTTAAAAAGTGCTGGTGTAGGACGGACCTAATAGTCTGAGTCTCCACAAGCTCCCAGGTGATGCTGATATTGCTGATATGCAACTATATCCTGAAGAGCAGTTTTACATGATAAAGAATATGGAATTATTTTCTTCTTCAGTCTGAAAACAGAAACAATGGAAACCTCCAATAGTCTAAGGGAGGCCCAATTTCTTTTGGTTCCGACTGATGGAATTTTAAGGGAATTTCATTACATTTCCATTACTTCCCTAGGGACGCTGCAGTGATCTATGGCTAACTAAAAGAGTACCACAAAGCCTAGCCTAAAATAACAAACATTTATTATCTGAGTTTCTGTGGGTCAGAAATTTAGGAGCGGCTTAGCTGGGTGGTTCTGGCCCAGGGTCAGTCATGAGCCTGGCAGGGACTACAGTCATCTGAAGGCTTGACTGGGGCTAGAGAATCCTCTTCCAAGATGGTGCACTCACATGGCTGTTGGCAGAAAGCCTCGGTTCCTTGCTGGCTTTTGGCAAAAGGCCTCAGTTTCTCACCACATGGGCCTTTCTGTACAGCAGCTTAGGCAGACAAAATGAGTGATCCAAGAAAAAGTGTGAGGAGGAAGCTAAACGAGTCCATGAACTGGTCTCAAAAGCCAGACCTTTCTCTTCTGTTTTGTTCTTTTGCTAGAAGGGAGTCATAAAGTCCAATCCACACTCAAAAAGCGGAGAATTAAGCTCTACCTTATGAAATGAGGAATATCAAATCATTTGAGCATGTATTTTTAAAATACCACAGAGGCTCCCTGGCCAGGGGCCACCATGAGAGGTAACCCACTTGAGGGCTTGGCGGACCTGCTAATCTCACAGGTTTGCTCTTCTTAGGAAGATTATGATCATCCAAGATCACATCCCTTGTAAAGGCATTTCAAAATGTGAAGTTATCAATTCCATTCCACTGTGACAGTGTGCATTCCATTACTTGTGAAACTACAAAGCAGTTAGAGTACAAGGAGGGCAGTAAAACATGAGCTAGTTCAGGAGTCCAGCAACTCCAAATTAGAATTCTGTCTTTGTTACTTAGTTGTGTGTCCATGAGAGAAACACTGATGCCTCAGATTATCTGGAAGAATGGGGTTAGCAATAGTGCCTGTCTCAAAGTGTTATATAAGAATTAAATGAGATATTAAATATAAAGTATGTGCTGAGCATTGTGGCACATGCCTGTAATCCCAGCAGCTCTGGAGGCTGAGGCAGGAGGATCATGAATTCAAGGCCAGTCTCAGCAATTTAGTGAGGTCTAACTCAGGGAGACCCTGTCTGTAAGTAAAAAAGGACTGGGGATGTGTCTCAGTAGTTAAGCACCTCTGGGTTCAATCCCTGGTACCAGAAAATTAATTAAGTGTCTAACACCTGGACCTGCAGACAGTGAGTGCTCAGCATGTATCAGTTACCATTATTAGCTCCTGTTCTTGTTATTCTGCCTCCACCAAGGCCCGGTTATATATTTGAAGAGATGTTGGCCACAGGTTTCTGTTTGATTTTCATGCTTCCTTCACCAGTTCCTCTTCTTATAATTTATTCGTATTTGGAGAGGTCTGGTTTACCTGTCCCAATAATCATGGGCTGTTTCCACATATGGACAGACTCTGTCAACAAACCAAGGCCCAACTCTTGAGTTAGTCCCTTCACCCACCGGTCTACTCGATTCCAAAGGCACAAGGAGGCCCAGTGCACCCACCGGTCTACTCGATTCCAAAGGCACAAGGAGGCCCAGTGTGTCCATCTCTAATGGCATGGTTTTCATTTTCATTACTGGATGATGAGGCTGGCTCCTTCCAAATCCCAGCACTGGGGCCAGGGGTTGGGGGTAGATGGAGCAACAGGGCTTTTACCAGTAAGTGCCATTTATATTTTGAGCTGCCCAGGGAAGTGGACGGGTTGTTTTGAATTTAACCTCAAACCAATTCAAAGCAAAGTGTTTGAAGGAGTCTCTAGGGAAATGAAAAATGCATTTTTTTTCTATGGTATGTTTTGAGATTTTTTAAAAATGTAGTAAAAGTGTCCTGACAAAAATTTTGATAGGTTTATATTACATATTTATGTCTTTAAAGCAATCAAAGAAATCTTTTCTAGTTCACTCTCTGTTTTCTCTCCAGGTATTTAGTCTTCCTACAGATCAAAAGGGATCTCTACCATGGCCGCCTCCTCTGTAAAACATCTGATGCTGCCTTGTTAGCAGCTTATATCCTTCAAGGTAATGACTTTTGACAGGATAAATTTGCTTTTCATGCTAAGTCCTTATTACATTATTTCAGTTACCACAGATGACTACTTCTTGGATCTAGACAGTACATAGCTTGAAACAGAGTCCAAGTTGGAGGATTTTGTGCAGGTTCCCTAGAGCCAGAAAACACGGAGAGCACTCAATCCTACACCGTTCCTAAGGTCTCACTGCCAGCCCCATAAGTCCTTCTGACTCTAGGAGATTTGCCCTTGGTTGATAACGTTATTGAGACTCTGGAGAGTAATCAAAATCAATTTTTTCGTATCCTCTCATGCAAATCTCTTAAGGTGTGAAGTGTCTATGAATTCTGGTATCTATTTTATATAGAGATCTTTCAGTTCAGATTGCTCAACATTGAAAATGTTTCCAAGATGTGTTAATAAGTAAGAGTTGAGCCTCACATCACAGCTGATGCCCAGATGCCCAGACTGGCTTTTTTTTTTTTTTTTGGCAAAAACAGTGGGAGAGTCATGCACTCTTCACATATGTCCCTTTATCCTTTCATGAAATGTTGAGGATTCCCAAGTGCCACTTCTTAGTCCTTAGAATGAAAGTCATTACAACTGGATCACTTTGGACCACAACACTAAAATCATGAAGTTTCCATCAAAGAATCTGAACTCTTAATTGGAAATACGTGAACTCTCAGAAGCAACTTTATAAAGAGAAACTGGAAAGTGCTTTCCAATAAGAAACTAAAGTCCTTCTGGCAGGAAAAATATCACAACTGTGTTAAGAATATAAAAGTCAGCCCATTGCCATTTTGACTTCTCAGACTCCTGTTTTAAAAATCAGCTAAGTGGAAAGTCTAGCAAGTGCTTGCTAATTTTGAGGTACTCAAAGGGTACCCTTTTCTTTTTAAAGAGAAACCCTGGCCTGATCTAATGTAATTTTAAGCTCTAGTCTTTTCTTCAATTTTACCCTGAGAATCATATTGAATTCTGCTATTTTTTTTTCTTCAAAGAAGTACTTGATGTCCAACATTGATGTTTTCCATTTGGTACTTTCTACATAAAATCAAAATAAATTATTCCAAGGTTCAAGGTCACTAACAAACTACAGGGGAAACCTTTAGTCTCTTGCTAAGTAATAGAAATTCCCAAGTAATTTGAGAGTGTTACTGAAAGTTCGGTCCTTGTCTCCAGTGCCAATCCAATAATGAGGACATGGCTTTGAGAAAAAGGAAAAAGAAGGTTTATTGCTTTGCTAGCAAAGGAGAAGCACAGGGAACTCCTGTCCCAGAGGCTGTGATTCTGCCCATCAAGGGGAGCTGGGGTTTTTACAGAGATGATTCAAAGACTACATTCCACTGTTCTGTCAGAAGTTGTAATTCACTTGTTAATTTGGGAGATGATCATATCTGAGATCTGCTGGTGCCATCCCCAAAGTCTGAATTACTTCTTTCCTGTGGTAGGTGTGTGTCCAAGGACAGATAACCCTGCTGAGGATAGGGAAAAAAAGATAATCCTGTTTCCCTTGAGTTAAAAAGGGGAGAGATTAGGGAGGAGAAGGGAGAGAGGAAAAGAAAGAAACATGTTCATTTTAAAAATAAGTTGCAGTGGCAGAGCAGCAAGGGCTATATTCAAAACATAAAATGGACCATGGTTACATGAGTTAGAATTGTAGTGAAAAGGCCCAAGCCACAAGAACAATATTGGCTGTGAGAGGAGGGAGGACATGTTTTCCTCCTAATATCTTATCTGAAGCAGTCATGACTTTCTGTGGAAGGAGAGGACATCCACAAAGCAGCTGGAACCTCCTCCTTCCTTTTGTCACACCCAGAATGCTCTCTGCAGAGCACTTCACATAGAGAAAGCTGGATTCTGACTTGGAGCGCTGCGGAAAGCACTATGGGTCCACAGCCCTCCCAGAGTTCTGTGATCTGAGATCTCAAGAGCTTTGAACTGCTCTGTGCATGGCCAGAGGAGAAAGCCCCTCATTGAGAAAAAGCCTTAGAACTAAATAAAATAAAAATAAATTACTTATTACTGCCTTAGAAAGCAGGACATTGAGAAATCAGCCCTAGAATTTGGTGCTTCTAAACTTGATGACACTGTCTGGTTCTTATAGCCTGACACATGGTCAGCCATCTGTGAATATTGAAATTTTACTGTTTTAAAAATTTGATTTGGAATAAGGGTTGAGTTCTAAATGTGGATCATGGCTCACTCATCAACTAGCTTTGTCCCTGCTAAAATCCTCAAAATGAGCTTTAGATTTCTGACCCATCTCAGGCCCAGGAACTCTGTCTTCCTGATCAAGCTCACCATTTCCTGCTGTCTTATAGAGCATTGCTCCCAGGCCCATACCTCATGACTGAATGGTGAAGACCATAGTGCAGCCCTATGCTCTTTTATTGCAAATTTACTTGTGGGTGACCTCAGAACACAGGGTTAGCTCTACTTTCTCTCTGCTTAGACTTGAATGTCAACTCAGTGAGTACAACCGGGAAAACAAAGGTGGACATGCTCCTAAAGCACCTGCCCTCTGCCCAGCTGTGCTTGAGACCCATTGGCCTTTGTAAATCTGATGTGTGCTTTGGCTGCTACTGTGTGTGTTAATATCTTGTTGCTTTGCAAGTGATGATTTATCTGTCTCCACACAATTCTTCTACCTCCCTTTAAAAGCGGAGATTGGAGATTATGACCCAGGGAAACACCCTGAAGGCTACAGCTCCAAGTTCCAGTTTTTTCCGAAACATTCAGAGAAGCTGGAAAAGAAAATTGCTGAGATTCACAAGACAGAACTCAGGTGTGTGATGTTCCCTGCCCTTCCTGCCCCTGGGATGTAGCATTGTCAGTGATCTATTGACAACACAAGCCCAACTCTGTGGGCTCACTGTCCAAGAAGAGTGGTTTAGGCCAAGGCTTAAAAGCAAAAAAAAAAAAAAAAAAAGTTGCTTTTGCGTTGCTGGGGAAATGGAGAGGGATTAGGCTTTGGGAGGTATTTGCTTCATTAAGATAAATGAAGTACAGAGAGAAGCATTAACAGTGGAAAAGTAAGGGAAAATCTTAAAAGAAAAGAAGATAGGGCTAGGGGTGTGATATAGTGGTAGCATGCCTGAGGCCCTGGGATCTATCTCGTGTATTGTGGAGAAAGAGAGGGAGAGAGAAAGAGAAGGTGTTGACTTGGGTTATTTTAAAAATAATAAATAAATAAAAAGTATGACTCTGATGTCAGTCTGTGGCAGTGTCATGATAGGTAGCTTCTGGTCAGAAAATGGATCACACAGGCTGGCCTCTGACTCACAGACATAGTGGGGTATCTGGGGGTCTGTGTTTTTAACACTGCCTAATTCCACTACACATCCTGCTTGAAGCCCCTGACCCCACATAGAGGGATGCAGGGGAGAAGTGGTTTCAAACATGGAGTCTTGTCTTGCTCAATGTCTCTTACTTTGCCCAGAATTATAGAATTCCATAAAGAAGCATTAATCCATCCTTTTACCCACATGAAATAGGATCTGTGACAAAGACTTACTTTAAAGAGAAAGAATAGAGTGTTTGGGCTCCACTCAATGTATCATGATGGAGTGGATCACCCAAACTGATAACTATGAAAAGAATCAGTATATGCAATAGAATATCATAAAATAGCAAAATGTTATGTCACTGGGCTGGAATTGTAGCTCAGTGATAGAGTGAGGCACTGGGTTCGATCCTCAGAACCACATAAAAAAATAAATAAAGGTATTCTGTCCATATACAACTAAAAATATATATATATTAAAAATGTTATGTCACCGTTTTAGCACATTACATACTTAAAAAAAATCTTTAAAAATGTTTGTGTGTTCACTGTTCTGAGGAAGAACTCTACTGGGGAGAAGGGGTGTTTCTTAATGATAATATTAAATGAAAATTAGTTCCTTTTCTTCCGCCGCCCACACCACACCATACCTTCTCCACTCTAAGGTATTACCAATGAATGTAACCCAAAGCCTCCTGAGCCTTGGGAGCCTCCTGAGCCTTTGTAAACAGTCCCTATTCCCATTGTGGGTTTCAAGCCAGATTCCAGACTCCAGAGGAATAGAGACACCTATCAAGGTTATGATCTTGGGTGTTTCCATCTCTCCCTGTACAGGGGGCCCATGGTTCCTCGCATCACCGTGTTGGGGAAATAGTGACCCCTTGTGGTAAGGTCAGATAAAACAGACCTGTGTGAGGTCTCATTCATATATTTGGGATGTCCAGCAAGAGCTGCCCAGAGGGTCATAGAGGTCAGAGTAATAGAGGGGAGAGTACTCCACAAACCTTGTTCAAGGCAGGAGTTTCCCCCAAGAAATGATGCCAGCTTTGAGGGCCCTGGGATTTTGGCCAATCCAGGGTGAATGGAGCCCACACTGCCCACCACCCTGTACACAGGGAATGAGGATGCTTCTTGGAAGGCACAGTGATGCTCTGGCCACCTCTGGTGCCAAGCCCTTTGCCTGCCACAAAAGTATTTTTTCCTGTCTTGGGTTCACTGGCAGATAGATGTAACTTCACACTAATACCTTCACACTACTACCTACTAACACAGGTTCAGCCTCACCTTCATAGTGTAAAAATGTGTCTGCTCCCTTCAACTCTGATGTGAATTCATGAGGGCCCAGGCATGTGCTTTATTTCTGTCTATTTTCCAGAAAGTAGCACAGAGGCTGGCACATAAAGGTATTGAGCGAGGCCTCTTCAGAGGGACTCTGGAGGGAGTCTAGCCTCTTTCTCACTTGGGTGGACATGTCTTCCTTCCCTGCCATGTTACTTGGCCAGTGATAAACTTAGAAATGAGCAACTTTCAGTCCTGCCCTCCAGGGGGTCAGAATCGCTGACATCATGCTGCCCAGCCCACATCTGCAGAAGCCCATCTGCTCTTCCAGGGCTCTACGCCCATGTGCGAGCCTGATGGTGATCATGCCCCTGGTTCTGTGGTGAGCTTATCTACACACCTGCAAAAGAGGCAGCTGGGAGGAGAGTGATGCAAAGGGCTCTTCAAAGATGGCTGGGATCCACTGCTGATTTCTTCCTTTTCCAGCTTATTTCCTTTTCATAGTACCACCCTATGGACAGGCAGAGCTATTGTGGAGTGTGGGGAACACAGTGCTATCTCCTAGATTATAGAGAAACCTATATCCTACATTGAAGCTACAGATGTGCTCCCCCCACACACAATGTTCAAAATTGTGAAATACCACAAAGTTAGCACCTCTCTCATGTGCCTATAATCTCAGCACTTAGGAGCAGCTGCACTAATTAGATGCAGGGAGTACTCCCTAGTTTGCCACAGACTCCACCACTCCCTATTGTTCACATTCAGCCCAGTGATTTATTATGTAGCCTGTCTCACTCTGAAGTTACATCTATCTGCCAGTGAACCCAAGACAGGAAAAAATACTTTTGTGGCAGGCAAAGGGCTTGGCACCTAGACTTGAATCCCTGAAGTTGGTCTAGAACCAAGGAGAGAGCATACTCTATGGAAAACTGGAGGTATGTAGCTCACCCAGAGCACTTCTTGTAGAGAGTTTTGTATCAGGGGAACCTCTGAGAACAGGAAGCCCTGAAATCATGTCATTTTCTTTATTCCAGTGGTCAAACACCAGCAACATCAGAACTGAACTTCTTAAGAAAAGCACAGACATTGGAGACTTATGGGGTGGATCCTCACCCATGTAAGGTAAGACTCCCCATGTGGGAGACCGCACTGACTGTGCCTCCTCTACAGGGTGACAGGAGCAAAGGACCATATGCTTAGGACCATGTGCTTATCCCCTTCAATGTGTGCAGGAGTGGCTCTTCCAGTGACAGATGCCAGAGAAGATGTCTCAGGTTGAAAACTCCTCTGGATTCCATGCTGCATAATTCTGTGGTGCCACATAAATGTCAGAGCATCAGAAACGAAGTCCATTTAAATAACAATCCAAAACTGGGCCCTACTTGGCCAGCAGTGGGTAATTTGGTGGAAATGAAGAGAAGAGGAATGTAGAAGGCCCCCCACAGGGAGTGATCAGAAGCACTCAGCAACTGCCCACCCTTCCCTGACCCGTAATCTAGTTTCTTTCTAAGAGTGGGTTTTATTGACTGTAGTGACGAACATCACCAGAAGGAACTGCAGTGGAGTCACATTTAATTCCATTATGTGCCTGTAAGGGTGAGATGGGAACCAGCTGGGGAAGTTGCGCCCAGAGAAATCTCTGTAATTACTCACACGTATCTGGCATTTTGGAGATGATCACCAGCAGCCCCAGTCCCTGCTGAGAGCAGCAGAGACCCGTGGCCTCTTCCTGACATCTCTCTCTGCCTCCCTCCACTGTATCCCCCTGTCCCTGGTGCTTTGAATTCTCACTCCCTGCCTCAGTTTCTCCACATTTCTGCCTGCCTTTCCAATACCAAAAAGGTTACAGCACTGCCCGTAAAACCAGCTGTGGCTAGGTGTGTTAGTGCCCCCTGTAATTCCAGCCACTTGGGAGGATGAGGCAAGAAGACCGCAGATTTGAGGTCTGTCTCTGCGACTTAGCCAGACCCTGTCTCAAAATAAAAAATAAAAAGGGCTAGGGGTTGTAGCTCAGTGACAGAATGCTCCTGGGTTCAACCCCCAGTATCACAAAAAACAGTTTTCCAACTTATCTGAAGGAGATAGTGTCAGCTAGAAGCTGAACAACATCAATCTTCCTGAGAGGTGAGAGGAAACTAAGTTTCAAGAGCAGCGTGTTCCCTTCCTAGGCCATGATAACTGAGCATCAGACCGGGTAGCTTGAACAACACAAATGTATTGTCTTGGCTCTGGAGGCTAGAAGCCTGACATCTAGGTGCTGTCAGGGTCGACTCCTTCAGAGGGCCTCAGAGGATCTGTTCCTGGCCTCTTTCCTTGGCTTGTAAATGGCTGTCTTTTCTCTGTGTCTTCACACAGTCTGCCCTCTGTTCATAAATGTCCAAAATCTCCTGTCTTATAAGGATACCAGTTAAATTGGAATAGGGTCTACACTAATGACCTCAGTTGAACTTAATTAGTTCTGTCAAGATCCTGTCCTCAAATAAGGTTACATTCTAAGGTACTGGGGGTTAAGACTCCCACATATAAATCCGGGGGAAAGGAAGACACAATTCAGCACAAACTATGGGACACAGTGACATGGGGACAGAACAGTGTTTTCCTTGGCTCCCTAGTGAAATGATGGTGAATTATCCTTGCCTAGGATTTAATATGAATCTTAAAACATTCTGGCACTTTGAAATGCTGCTTGTCTTCCAGACCCCACACTGCCTATCCACTAGCACAGTCAATTGCCATCTGGCCCCTGTGTTCTTGAGCCGATACTGTCAGAAAACATATCCATGCCGGTTTATACCGAAGAATTGATATACCAATACTTACAAATTAGCAACGCTTCCCAAATAATGTTTCCTGTGTAACAGAGGTAATTTAAACCCCTCTATCAACTGCTCAGACACTCTCAGCAGACACCCCATGAGAGTGAGAGTTGGGGGGCAGGGGGCAGCTGGCCCAAGGCTCCAGTCCTTGTCTCCCACTTACTGAGGCTTTTGGAGACTTCTGACCCTCACTTTTCTTATCTGTGATTAAGTACACAGTAGATGTTCAATAACTGTGCTCCCTGAGCTGCTGAGTCACTCCAGGACCTGAAATGACATAGCTGCTTAAAGATAGATATGGCTAAGTAGAAGGTGTGGGGATCATGTCTGAATTTGAGCCCAACATGCCTAATCCATTTGAGGCCACTCATGAAAGGGGTCCCTGAGCTGGGCTTACAGCACAGAGGTGGGCAGGCAGTGACCCCAAGCACAACAACTAACTAGAGGTGGGTGGGATTCTCCACTATTGTCCATAGGGTCTGGAAATCATGTAGAATGGCAGCCAGACTGGTTACCAGCCCAAATCCACATGCACCCAACAAATATGGGTCTCCTGGCTCAGCCTTGACTTTGATAAGTTTGTCCAACATTGGGCAGAGAGAGGCTGAAGAGGCTGCAGGGAGAACCCAGCATTCATACCCTTTGTGCACCCAATCCTATATATCCTATCATCTCATCTCCACAGCATCAATTCCTGGAAAGGAGGAGGGAGGAGGAGGGACCAAGGGAGGGAGGAAAAGAGCAGAATGTGGCACGCCTTCCAACACAGGCCCAGTGAAGTCCTTTTGCATCATTTCTAATTTATTCCTCAGCCAGCTTTGGGGAAAAGGGGCTGGATGTTATACTCCTGGTTTTATAATCAAGAAGGCTGATGTTCTGTTGACATCAAGGTTCACCAGGCCCTGAGTAGTAGAGGAAGAATTCACACTCTGGTCACGTACGTACCCTATGTAAAACAGAAAACATGCCCCACACACTTACTTTGGGGAGGTGGGGGTGGTCATCTCATTGGACTTCCCTGTTCCTGGGTCCTTTGCCTCTGCTTACCGGGGGCTATGTCAGGTCTGCAGGCAGACCCCACACATGGTCCCTTGGCTCCTCTCATTAGGCTCTAGCCATGGTTTCCTCAGCCCTCCTGAGCAAGGAGAGCAGTTTGGGAGCCTTTACTCTTACCAGTAAGTAGAGTCACTTCAGTGATGTGCTACCAAGTACTTCCCTTAATGTCGCTACAAGGAGAGCTGAAACAAGCTGGTGCACTTGGTATAATAAATACTGATGATTTCTATTAACAGAGAGGCAATTACTGGGCCCGGGGAATCTGGGGCATGCAGCCCTAGGGAGGACAGAAGAAGAGGAATCATTTTGATAATTAAATGAAATCAGAACAACGCTTCAGCTGGGCTCTGTTTTCCTGGACAGATTAAGAAGCTGCTGTTTGTCCTGTACACACTGGTGGTTTCCTTCTGCTCAGAGTGTCCTTGTCTGGTCCTGGGACCAGAAGGAGGAGTCATAAACCCTGTCTAGGAGAGCCAGAGCATTCCATTAGCTAGCAGGTGTGCAGTAAGACCCAAACTCCAAACTTGTACAAGCCTGTCCCGAGCTTTCTGCCTCAACTTTCAGTTCCCCACTCCTGGCAGAAGCTCCCAGCTGCCCAAGCCCATTGTTGCACATGTTCCCTGTCCCTGATGCCTCTCCAGCCTTAACTACCTTCTTGTTCCATCCAAGCCGGCCCCAAGGTTAGTTGTTTTCCTTGAGTCTCCTGTAGCAGTTAGACTCATCACAGATACCCAGCCTCTGCCTGACCTTTTTATCATATATGTCTCAAAAGTGCCATTTATTGAAACTCTGCATGTGCTAGGTCCTTTCATACATTATCTCAACCTTTTTTCTTTTTTTAAACCAGGGATTGAACCCAGGGATGCTTAACTGCTAAGCCACATTCCCAGCCTGTTTTATTTTTATTTTGAAACAAGATCTCACTAAATTGCTGAGGCTGGCTTTGAACTTGCGATCCTCTTGCCTTAGCCTCCCAAGCCACTGGCATTATAACATCTTTACAACATCACTACCAAGAATATATCCTTATTTTAAGATAAGAACTCTGAGCCTTTGAAGGTACAGATAATAAGGAATAAGAGGGGGATAAGAAGTTCCCTTTGAGGGACTAACTAACATGCTTAAAGTTACTGGTTAGGACAATACTGAGACTCAAACCCAGAGTTATCTGGTCTCAATGCAGTGCTTTTGCTGTTACTGTTCATGGTCTTCGTTCTGCCAATATGGCATTTGTTTAGGCACCAAGCATGAGTCACCATCAATTCTGATAAGACACAGACCTATAAAGATTTCTAGAATCATGGGCTGGGGTTGTAGCTCAGTTGTAGAGGCTCTGGGTTCAGTTCTCAGTACCATGTAAAAATAATTAAAAAAAAAAATGATATTGTGTCTATAACTAAAAAAAATTTTTTTTAAGATTTCTGTAATCATTATAAAAAATTTTAATGTAATTTTACCAGTTTATATCTGCTCTGTATAGACCAGGAGAAAATTAATTACAGCAGGATCTAGATTAGATAACAAAAATAAAATTGTACTGTTTCTCTGACCTTAAAATAGGATCATTACTTTCATCATCCAGCCCCCTGTCCCCCTCTCTAAATAAGAAACCCTTCCTCCATCTTGACAAGTTGCTCCTGACTTCAGAGGATGTGAGGTGACTTTCCCACCATGAGTGGGCCCCTCTTGGTTGTGCTATGGACAGGGTGATAGATTTCACTTCTGAAATGATGAACTTGACTAAAGCCACTCAGATGGCAAGTTTCCACCAAGAATTCCATTTCTGAGCTGTCATAAAGTGCCACCAAGTCTCTTATAGGGTGCTACCACCTCCTCTTTCTTTCCATTCTAGTTTCTTGGAGCTAAGTTTAAGTATTTTGAAACTGTGATTTTTCATGACTGACTTATGGTCCCCCAACCATTAGCTCTTTCAGAAATGATTTATTAGTGTCTGGAAGAGCATGTGGAGTCATCTTTCCTATTGTTTTTCAAGAATAAGAGGCTTCATCCAAGACTGACTAAAGAAGGGACAGGATAACCCCAGGGACCCTACAACCAAGAGTGCCATGGTCCTGACTCTATCAGGAGACCCTCTTGGTTGGCTGTTGGCAGAAGGCTGCTTTGTATATAACTGCAGGTAGAACCTGTGGGGACTGGGCAGAGGAGGACCAATGTTCCTATTTCCAATATCCATCTGTGCTTTGATTTCCAGAATTCCTTTTCTGGTCATCTTGGTGACCCTTCATGGTGCTGAGTGGATGCAGGTCATGTTGGATGGTGTGTTCTACCCCAACTCGTGAATGATTAATGATGAGTACAACAAATTCATCCCTCTCCAAGAACACCACTGGCCACCTCCTAGCAGTGAGGCATTTGGGCCTCCATCCTAACATCAGAAGCTAGTGTTTCTATAGGTATTATCGTCCTCATTTTACAAATGAGGAAAACTGAGGTTTGGAGAAGTTAAGCAAGCTACAGAGCAAATAATAAGCAGAAAAAAATAATAACAATAAGCCGAGCTTGGGTCCTACACCAAGACTGAAGCTCTTTCCACAAGAAAGAAAATTTGAAACTATTTTTTTTTAACCTCACAATAAGGTCTCTACCCTGGGAGTCTCTAAGTTTTAGGACTTCCCTGAATCCTGCTTGCACAAGGAGTAGAAAGCCTGGCACCCACCTTCCATCTGAGGCAGGCTGCCTCCCAGACATTCTCTTCAAAGAGGCCACTATGCTCTGGTCCATATCTCTGCCAAGTCAGCCAGGATAGCCCTGGTGCCTCCTGGCAGGAACAGTGTTTGTGTGCAGTGCCTGGTTCTCAGATATTAATAACCACCACCAAGCACTGATGACAGGAAGGAGGAAATCCAGCCCTGTGGCCATGCAGTGTTTCATTCCAGTTTTGTTTTGTTTTTTTACTTTTTTTTTTTAGTTGTAAATGGGCACAATACCTTATTTTATTTATTTATATGTGGTGCTGAGAATAGAACCCAGTGCTTCATGCATGCAAGACAAGCGCTCTACCACTGAACCACAATGGCAGCCCCATCATTCCAGTTATTTTTAAAAACTTTTTGCTATGCCCATGAGTTAAACGATACCACGCTTATAGCCAAGTGCCTGGATCTTGACCCAAAGAGAAGGACAATGATAACAACACATTAATCAGAAATGTTTGTGAAATGTATAATTAGTTTATTCTCTGGGCCCAGAGGCTCAAACCTGCATGACTCCAAGAGGCAAACCTGTGTTTTCCTTGAGGCAAGGCTCATCAGACCCTGCAGAGGCCCCTATGTTCATAGGGCTGATCAGGCTGAAAATCTATGCCAGGGTAGCAAACTCTGCAGGCGAAGGATCAGGAGAGCCAACCCTCAGGCTCATCTGGCCTAGCAGCCTCAGCTTCCACTCACAAGCCTCCTGCCAGGTGTATGGACTCCATAGCATCACCTGAGCTGTGCCAGAAAATTCTTCTGGCATGTTTGGCCAGTTTCATTGCTTAGTTTTCTGGTCATCTCTGTCATCACCACACAGCCTGATAGTAGATTCTTACCTGAACTTTGTCACAAAAGAAGCCCCAAAACCTTTTATCTGGGGGGGATGGGGGGTGCCAGGGATTGAACTCAGGAGCACTCAACCACTGAGCCACATCCCAGCCCTATTTTGTATTTTATTTAGAGACAGGGTCTAACTGAGTTGCTTAGCACCTCGCTTTTACTGAGGCTGGCTTTGAACTCACGATCCTCCTCTCTCAGCCTCCTGAGCCGCTGGGATTACAGGATTGTGCCACTTCACTCAGTGCCCTATAATCTTTCAGATAGCTCCTTCCTCATGGAGCTCATTTTTCCACTTCACGGAACCATGATCAACACCTTCTGCTACGTCTTCTTCCCACTTGCTCAGCAGAAACCCAATCCTGATATTTACAAACTGAGGACCAGTGACCAGGAGAACCTGTCTGTTGGTTCAGGCCTCAGGGCTGGTGGCAACTGTTCTACTCAGCCAATTACTGCTTATCTTCAGCTAAACTTTCCTGAGGGAGCCCAGTGTCATAGGACCATCATGTTGATGATAACTGCTTCTCTTTAATAACAGCTTTTTGATATATAATTCATATAAGATCTACCCTTTTAAGTGTGTAGTTTAGTGGCTTTTAGTTATTCAGACTTAAGCAACCATCACCACTGTCTAATTTTAGAATATTTTCATGACCCCCACAACAAAGAAACCCCATACCCATCAGCCGGCACTGCCCTACTTCTTTCCCCAGCCCCTGGAAACCATTAATCTTCCTTTTGGCTCTATGGATTTGCCTATTCTGGACATTATATATAAATGGAATCATTCAACACTTGATCACTTCTTTCACTTGGCATGATGTTTGCAAGGTTCACCCATATTGTAGCATGTATTGGTTTTTCATTCCTTTCTACTATTGAATAATATTCCATGTATGATACTATGTCATTTGGTTATTCACCTATCAATTGGTGGACATTTTCCACTGCAAAATGGATTGGACTGTTACTGCTGGTTGGATGATAACGAATAGTGCTACTGTTAACATCCAGGTACAGTTTCTGTGTGGACATGTTTTCATTTCTCTCAGGCACGTACCAAGGAGTAGAATTGTTGGATCTTATGGTAACTCTGTGTTTAACAATTGTACACCCTTGCACAATCTCATCACCAATGCCTGGGAGTTCTCTTTGGTAGTTCATAACATTCTAAGTTGGTGCCTCCAGATAAGGGCAACAGGCTCAGTAAGCTGGTGAGTGGCAAAGCTGGGACTCTAACCATAGTCTAGTGATTCCAGATGCCCTGCTTCTTGCCTCTGCAACCTTCTGTGAGGTAGTAACCTTTCCTCCCTATGAAGAACTGTATTTCTCACTCTTTCACCTCTATGCCTGCGTCACCCCAATGAGAAGTCTTTCTATGTTGCAGGATGTGTCAGGAAATGCTGCATTTCTGGCCTTCACTCCTTTTGGGTTTGTTGTTCTTCAAGGAAACAAGAGGGTCCACTTCATTAAATGGTGAGTATCTTCATTTCCAAAACAGGCTCATTATATCTCACTAACCGGGGAGGGGCTATGGTTCCCATGTCCTTTGTCTGTGATTGGGCAATTATGGTTCGGAGCCCTCTCCAAAGCCTTGTGTTGAGAATGGTAACTGATGAAGGTAGTGGTCTCTTCCTAGGGATCCTATTCTTCCACAGGGTTGTCCCTGAGAGCCAACAGCCTCTCCAGAGAGAGAAAGACTAAGAAGATTTAATTTCTGGGGAGGCCTGGGGCTGGAGCCAATATTAGGGAAGCAAAATTCCCAAGAGAATTGAGTCCTTGGTTCCATCACCTGCTAAGGACCATTGCCAACCCTATTAAGGCTGCTTGAGAGCATCTCCGTAGATGGCCCAACTCCTTTATCTACTCCACAACACAGACCATGACCCCTAGGGCAGATAAGTCATCCTGTTACTCTGCACAACCCCCTCTCAGACCAGCCTCCTTTGTGGGCAACTGGTCTGCAAGAGCTCAGATGCTGCTTGCTCTCACTCCTATTCCCCTTTAGGCCTTAAGTGTCTTCCGCCTCCAGGAGTCATGTCCACACTGTCTTCCTTCCCCTACTCTCCACTCCCACTTCTAGCAGGCAAGAGCCTCTGCCACAGCTGCGGCTTCTTAGAACTACATTTCCTCCTGCCAGTTTTTGTTTTGTTTGGGCACTATTCTTTATGGCTGGGAAGACTCCAATTTGTTGATTGCCATTTGAATTATACTTGAGCCCCTTTGGATGGCTGGCCCCTGCAAACATTATCAGCCTCCCTAGGACATTTTGCATATTCTACTAAGTCCCTGTGATTTCTGTGCCTGCTTAGGTCTCAGCCTGCCATGACTAAGCTGGCCAGTTCCTCCAATGGACTTGGATAAATGGCTTCCCTGGTCCAGCAGAACTCAGTAGCAAAGCCTCTCCCTGTCTTCATCCCTTTATCTTCTCCAGAAGAGCATATGAAGGGTCTGAGTACAGAGCTGGTTTCCAATCAGCTTTCTTCTGGGGTGCTGTAGGTATCTGCCCTCCTTTGCCCTCTTTAGAACACCAGTCATTTTTTAACCCAGATTATTCTTGTGAATGATCTAAAACAGTGCTAGAGAAACTGCTATTCAAACATGCAGACATGCCTGCTGCCTGGAGTTACCCAACATACCAGCTTCCTTGGCTTCCTCAAGTGGTCCTCATTGTGCTCTCTGGGTGTTGATGTGAGGATTTGAAATCTGTCCAACAAAATACTTTTCAGGAAAAAGACAATGAGCAGGATCACATTTCTCCTAGTGTACATCATTTGCTGCCTGGATATATCTGGGATATTCAATGTTCCTTAGACAATGACATTCTGACTAGGGTAGCTCATGAGGACCCTGTTAGAGGACACAATTAGCTAGGAACAAGTAAGAAGCACTCTCACAGATACTTATAGTCTCTAATTATCCCTTGCCCTCCAGAAGCCACACTGCTTCTCGATCTTTTTCTTCCTTTCATCTACCACTTCTTCAGGGAGTCACTTCACCGTGTCTCAACTTTATTTATTTTTTTAAAATTTTTTTTTAGTCGTAGATGGACACAATACCTTTATTTTACTTATTTTTATGTGGTTCGGGGAATCGAACCCAGTGCCCCCATATGCTAGGCAAACGCTCTACCACTGAGCCACAGCCCCAGCCCCTCAACTTTATAATACAGATGTAAACCCAACCTCACCCTCAAAAGAAAACCCTGAACTTTCTATCTTGCTTGATAGAGCCTAAATGATCTGTGTACTTGCCTGTATATTAACCACGGGATATGTAATGTAGTGTATCTGAGTATGTGAGATTGATGATTGACCGACTAAAAGGGAGAATAAAAGGGAATCAAACATGGAGGGAATGCTACATGACTGGTCCTAACTCAGAACTGCTGGTCAGAAGTTGTAGAGTATCATCCTGACCCAACCATGATTTCCAGGACCATAAAGAATAAGTGATTTATCTGTCCCCTGAAGTATGTCCAGCTATAAATTGGGTACATAGTGCTTACTACCCTTCTTCTACTTACTAGGATATTGAGGAGACCTCCCTAGAAATTACCAAGAGGAAGAAGCAAAGTTGAAGCAGATCTACACAATCAGACCTCCTTAGGGGTCTCAAATGGGCAGAAAAATAGGCATTCCAGAGAGGGGTAGAGGGCCTGTGGCTCATGAGGGTAGTTGTGCTGGGCAGATAGAAGTGAAGTGAGCAGCAACTGATGCCAAGGCCTAGTTCTCTGGCTCTCAGGGACATCCACCTAAGGCCCCAGTAATTTTTTCACTTTGTAAATGTAACCAAGGCTGAAAGCAGTGTGTGGAGATGAGGTCTAGGCCGTGCCATGTACAGTAACCATGTCACTTCTTCTGATTTGTGTCTGTCCTGCGGGTGACGTACCCCAGTATCCTGTTTGCCTCTTTTACTGCAGCCATTCACTGGGCTGGTGGCTTCAAGGATTTTTCTACAATAACCCCTAAGCCCCTTTCCTGGTCAGTACGCTGCATGACTGTTCCATGTAATCTGTTCTCTCTCTTTGGTATGTTGCCCCGCCCCCTCCCTGAGATTGTTTGACATTTGTCTGCATTAAACTGCATTTTCCATCCAGTGGCACAGTCACCTGAAAGACTCAACTCCCTCAGAACCTGGTTGCATTGTATTTCATTATTTGCTGTATCTTGAACTTTGGCCTCATCAGCTACCTGTGGCATCTTACATTTGACAGTCCCATCCAGATAATGCACCTGTGTTATGAACCAAATCCTGAAATGACCCGGACACTCTACCTAGACTCACTTTCCATGCAAATGTTTCCCTTTTACAGCCACTGTTGATGAGCCCGAAATCCTCCTATCACCCTATTACTATAGTGTGATTGACCAGAAAACTGTGGATTGAACTGTTCCAACAACTGTTCTCTAAGGCCACTGCGCTGCTGTCTTGTTTCAGTTCTAATTTTGGCTAAAATTGTGTCTGTGCCTGGAGCCCCTTCCAGTTGGGGTGGGCTGTGCATCTACAAGACTTAGCTGTGAACCAGCAGCCCACATCAAGGTGACAAGTGCTCTTTTTGTGCTTCTAGGAATGAGGTGACCAAGCTGAAATTTGAAGGAAAGACTTTCTATTTATATGTAAGTCAGAAAGAGGTGAGTGCTGGCTTCCTTCTCTTCAGGGAGGGCTGGGGCACTGCGATGGCTCCTGAAGTCTAGAGCCAAGTCTATGGGGTCCAAGTAGAGCTAAGCCACTCACATGCTCAGCCAACATCAAGTCAAGACCTGGAGGTGAGGTATGAAGGGTAGGAAGCTTCTGGAGTACATACTTTCTCAGGTATGCTGATGACACCCAGAGTTTTCACCCAAGAGATCCCTTCCTCCAGGAAATGTAGTCAAAATGAGATTCTTTTTCCATATACGGAAATTCCAGATGCAAATGCCACTTCTCACCAATGGCTCTCCTGGATCAACTTGTGACAGCTGAGACTTATACTGATTGGACTTGCCAGGTGTTAGGTGATGCACTGAATTTGAGCTCTGCCCCAGTGGGTCCTCTGGATCTTCTCTTCCAGCTAGCCAGCTGCTGGGGGCTTCCAGCAGCACAAGAGTTAGTTTCCCGGCTACTTCACCCTTCATTTCTTCATCCATACTCAGTCATTTCTATGTGAAATTTTTTTGCAGGAAAAGAAAATTATTCTCACTTATTTTGCTCCAACTCCAGAAGCCTGCAAGCACCTCTGGAAATGTGGAATTGAGAATCAAGCCTTCTACAAGTGAGTAGACACATGATGGGGACCATCTTTATCAGAGGCAAAGTCACAAAGGTTGCTTTTTAAGAAAAGATGGGCATGTGAACCTTGAGAAACCTTGAGACAGGAGACTTGGAGACATGAGATGACAAGGCTGGCTTCCTAGTAAAACTCAGACCCCTTTCTGGGTCTTTCCCCCCACCCCCATGTACACAGCCAAAGACAGGGAATGTTTCTGCTAAGTAGCCCAAGGGTCTGCCTTGAGGTGTCTGTCCTTGGACAGCCCCCAGGATGGAGTAATGACCTTTGGGGTAGACAAAGGGTGTTTAATTTGAATCATGCTGTCCTTGTTGAATCATTCAGAGCCCTGGAAGGCCTGGAGCACAACAGTTTGATAAAAGATCAGGTACAACCCAAAGCATACCCGAGCCCCACTCTTTGGAGAAATTCTGAGGTCTGTCTCTTGGTGGGTTGCCCACTGCTGAGCTGGGATCGATGCCAGCCCCTCCTGTTGTGTTACTACCAAAGGTGTAAGCCAACAACAGACCAAGTGCCCAGGAGCCTCGGGTGGGGTCGCTGGAGGGGCAAAGGCTTAACCACTATTGGGAAGCCAGGTTTAGGCCAAAGGTGAATTGTGCTTACTAAATAATTTTGTAAAGTATGAGTTATTTGTGTTCACTGGCAGGAGCTGGGCATGTCAGCACACAGCTGAGAGGCTAAGCAGGAGGATCACAAGTTCAAGGCCAGCATGAGCAACTTAGTGAGACTCTGTCTCAAAATTTTAAAAATTTTATTTATTTTTTTTTAGTTTTAGATGGACACAATACCTTTATTTTGTTTGTTTATTTGTTTTTATGTGGTGCTGAGAATCGAACCCAGTGCCTCACATGTGCGCTAGGTGAGCGCTGTGCTGCTGAGCCACAACCCCAGTCCCTCAAAATTAAAAATTTTTAAAAAGTGCTAGGAAATATAGCTTAGTGGTAGTGTACTCCTGGGTTCAGTTCCCAGTACTGAAAAAAAAGTAGCGAGCTGGTGATGTAGCTCACTAGTAGAATGCTTACCTGGTATGTATAAGGCCCTGTGTTCAATTCCAAGCAACCATAATTTAAAAAAAAAAAATTTTTTAAGAAGTTTTTTTTAATTTTTATAAGAAGATTATAAAAGCATTAGGAAGCCACAGGCAGTGGCATATGCCTGTGATCCTAGCTACATGGGAAGATTGCAAGTTTAAAGCCAGGTTGGCTAACTTAGTGAAACCCTGTCTCAAAAAAATAAAATAAAACGGTCTGGGGTTGTAGCTCAGTGATAGAGCACCCCTGAGTTCAATCTCCTGTGCCAGAGAGAAATAAAGAAAGAAATTTGTGCTTTAATAAGATGTGTCTTGATTAGGACAAGGCAAGACAGTTGGTATATTCTACCTGGGGTCAGCCTTGCTATCATCAAATGTCCCTAAAGGATCCTGGAGAAACCCGACTTGCCGGGGGCTGACTGGGCACCATCCCCCTCCCCAGTGAGCAGACTCTGTTACCTGCTGCTGTCCTGGGGCCACAGCTCCAGAGGCTGCTTGTTTCTTGGGCAGGCTTTCTGAACTGCTAAATAATACTATGCATTTGATACCAGCACCAGGATGAACTGAATAGGCAGTCTGAATTCTAACCTGAGGGGATGTCTTTCATCTCATGAAGAGGACACTCAGGAGAGACTTTAGCATGGCCAAATTCTTCTCCTACTCAGTCCCTGCTTTCCATGGAAAGCCAAGGAAACATTTTTTCTTTTGCCACCACCTTCCCTTTGCCTTTGACAGAGCTCAGCTTTGGTCAGTTACATGAACCTGGAGAGAAGCAACTCAAGATGCAAACTTTTGTTTGTGGGACTGAGAAGCAACACAGGAAGGATGGGGTTCCCTGAGTCTCCCCAACAAAGAGAGGAAAGCCAGAGATGGCTCTGCACTGAGCTTTCATTGCCCTGGGGATGATACATTTGGAAGCATTCTCTCTCTCTCTGCTAAATGGTCTAACACAAACAGAAGGAATCTCTTTGTCTCTTGTTTTCTCCAGCACTTGTTCTTAAAGCTTTGTTTTCCACCGCCCATAACAGAAGTTTGCTTCTAAACCTGTAACCAAATTCAGTTTCTGAGTTTTTCCACTATACCCACACTAGAAACTGAGGTCATTTTTCAGTTTTCCATTGCCTCCTTAATGTCCTAATTGTTAAAAGCTTCCAGCCTGGATCAGATCCCAGTTACATCAAATCTTTGGTAGCAACCAATCATTTCAGTCCATTTTCAGCATCTCTGACACACAGGTCCCCATCCTGCCTATGGCCTAGTGCCTTGAAGATAGCTGGGGCAGACTCAAGAACATGTTGAGGCAGGAGGGCAAGTAGGCTGAATCCTCACAGAGCCCTGAGATGGGGTGGTGGGGGTGGTGTCTTCCAGGACTGTTCATGGATTGTGGAGACAGTTCCTTAAATACTCAATGCCCATCATGGCAGAGACGTCAGAGCCAGATGGACTCCCAGCTGGATTAGTACTATAGGCACCCTGGGAGGGTTTTACGGCAGTCAGGTCTTGGAGACCCCCCTAGGCAGTTCTGTCCAGGCCTCCATTTCTAAGGGTGAGAGAACTAATGGGATCAGCAAGGCCACCAGGAGGATGTTTTCCAGTGCCCATGGCCTTCCCAGATCTCCACATTAGCTCTCTGTAGTTTCAAAAGTGATGTCAAATAGGTAATCTGGGGAAAACAGGATGGCTCCAAATTCAAATAAATGATGGAATTTTTATTGAAATTATGCTGGTTTCCTCACTGCAGGACGTCTCTGAATTTTTATTATGAGAATGCATGTTAGGACTCCCCAGCAGGAAAATGGAACAGAAAGGGCAGCCCCTACCCTCTTTTCCACCCACAATTACCCAGAGAAGGACACAAAGCATCAAATACTAGAGCTAGAAGGGACTTCTGAGGTCAAGTAGTCCCAATTCCATCATTTCATAGAGAAGAAGACTGAGGCTGGGTGTGGTGGTGCAAATAATTCAAGCAGAAAGCTGAGGCAGGAGGATTATAAGTTCAAAGATTGTCTGGGAAATTTAGCAAGACCCTGTCTCAAAAATGAAATTTAAGAAGGGTTGGATACGTAGCTCAATAGAAGGGTGCTTTCCTAACATGCATGGTTCAATCCCCAGTACTGCAAAATATAAAAAAATAAAAAGACTGGTCTGAGGTCACACTGCCAATAAAGGCATGGCTGAGATTAGAAGGATGGTATTCTTCTTTTCACCAGACCATTATCCCTAACATTGTTTCCTCGGTTCCCTTGGTCAATTCTATAAACCTTCTCAGGGACCTTCACTCTCATGACATTAAAATAGGCTTCCATGTGACTGCCAGGCTCTGAGACAGAAGGGCACCTGGCTGTGAGCACAGCCTCCAGTCCTGAGACAAGCGTGGGCTACCCAGGGCTTTTTCTTGAATCAAGTTTCCTCACATGGCCTTTGGAAGGAGCTGGGAATGTACAGCCTTGGCCTGTGTGAGGCAGGTTTAGGCCATTGGTCACACTGAACTTTGCCTTGCTACAGGCTGGAGAAATCAAGCCAAGTCCGCACAGTGTCCAGCAGCAATTTATTCTTTAAAGGGAGCCGGTTCCGATACAGGTAAATAGTGACAGTAAGTAACCATTATGAATCTATTTTCAGACCCTTCTCTGGCGGACAGTCACTCAGTGGGCCTTATTCTTGAGAACAAAGAAAGTGAGGAACTCTCAGCACAGCCTGAGGTTTCCATCCAATTCTCCTGTCTTCTAACCCTTTTACTATTTCTTTCCTTCCCTGCAGCTGTTTGTCTGTAGGGTTTTAAATGTGTCTCTTCTTCCCTTACAACAGCAGCCCAATAAGAACTGAAACAGTGATTCCTAATGTCTCACTGTCTATAAAGAGTTTTTTTGTTTAGTTTTGGTAATGTTACTGGAAATGCTGGGCAATGAGAAATCATTCCTCAATGATAATGGAAGACCTCAGAGAGTCCAGAGATAGAGAAAACTCTCTTAAGATAGGATGTCATGACACTTTAGAATTCCACCCCAACAAGCAAGCCTTTCTCAGTGACCAAAGGATTGGGGAAAGGGTAGGCCAAAGAGGCCATTTTCTTATTCAGCCAAAATACATGAGATCTTAGAATAACAGTCCTAGAACACAATCTCACTTCTTTCTGTTTGTTTTTATACTACTACTTACAGTGGCCGAGTTGCAAAGGAAGTAATGGAATCGAGTGCCAAGATCAAACGAGAGCCACCGGAAATACACAGGTAGGTTGCCAGGAGCTCCCCCCAAACCATTCCAACTCAGATCCCAGAATCTCAAAAGACCTAGTAGTTTGAGTTCAGTGAAGCTCCTGGTCACAGTGGCCACCAAAAGAGGCAGGAGAGTAGGGCAGAAGGGTGAAGAAATTTGTCCCAGCTGGAGGAATGAGAAGTCTTTAACCCATGATAAAAAACAACAGCGGGCCAGGCTACTTGCGAATAATATGCAGACCTAGGTGCTACCTCCCTGTGATTCTCTTCTCTTCTCCCAAATCTTGATATTGATCACAGACCAAGGAGGATATGACAAAGCAGCAATATTTCATTGGTTCTGGAATCCATCCATTACAGGAAGCCAGAGATAGCCTCACAGCCCTGCCACTCTGGGTCTAAAATAGTTTCAGGATACATGCCTCATGTATATCCATAATTCATGCATTTCCAGTAGCCTATCTCCTAGAAATGGGTAAGACCCAGAAAGAATGTGATTAGCCTAGAACACTAGGATCTGGGGCCAGCCTTTGCCTCTGGGAATGGGAACACTGCTGCCTGCCCCTCCACATACAGCCCCCATGCAGCAGCCTCTGGGGGAAGTCAGAGGAGGCTACCAGTGTTGGTCTTCAGGTACATTCTCAGGAGTACTGCTCATCCTGGGGCTCTATTTCCTGACAGTCCAGTCCAGGACCACTCCTGCCCCATTAAAGAAAGGTTTAGGTGAGTCTGGGGTATAAGGAGGTGGTAGAGTTTGAAGCAGAGTCTCTTATTGGGATCCAAGGGCCAAGAGCAAAGAGAAGGTACTAAAGATTTTTTTTTTTTTTTTTTTAAAGGATCCAGGGGCTCAGGATGTGGCTCAGTGCTTACCTGCCATGTGTGAGGCCCTGGGTTTGATTCCCAACATTACATAAAAAAAAAATAAAAAATAAAAAGAACCCAAACCTAATACAGGCAAGCATTCTAGTAGCTCACACCTACATCTGTCTGTTCACTGAGTGAAAAAAACCGGTTTCTCTTTTCCTTTTACCTCAGAGCAGGGATGGTTCCCAGCCGGAGCTGTCCTTCTATAACCCATGGCCCACGGCTGAGCAGTGTCCCCAGGACCCGCAGAAGAGCTGTTCACATCTCCATCATGGAAGGTGAGCCTGAGCTCCTGGAGATGATATTGAGTCCCTCCGTGTTGTGACTTGGCCAAGTTCAGGGCCCTTGAAAAAGAAGCTAATTTGCATTTGAGACAACAGTAGGTTTCGTGGAAGAAAGAGCCCAGCAGCAGGTTATAAGTTGTTACCCAGAGGATGGGAACACCAGCTGGATACAGGATAAGGGGGCATCTTACCAGGCCTGTGTACTATGATCCAGGATGGGGTGTAGATCTGAGTGGATGGGGTTAACCCTTTGGGAGATTTGTATGTGGAGTTTGCCAGGTGCCATGCAGTTCTGAGAATGGCTTTGTCAAGAGGCCTTCCCTTCATTTCCTAGATCTGACCAGTCTCCACAGCTTGTATTATTAGGATGAATGAGACAGTTAACCAAGAAATAAAAACTTGGTTCTTCCAATAGCTGCCACCACCTTATCTTTCAGTTATAGAAATCTGTGCTATTGCTATGTGAACTTACTGCTGTCTCAGGAAGTCAGTATGCTCTACCTCTCTCCTCCCTCCCTTTGGGGGAGGTGAGAAGAGAAATTCTGTGTATCTGCTGAACTAGGCACCCTGGTATCTGAGGCCAGCCTCTGTTCTGTTCTCTAGGTAGTCACTTCAGTTAGGAGATGTCCTCAGAATATTGCCCTCTAGCTGTTGCCATGGACCTGGCTCATTATTCACAGGCTGGATGTAAAATTTGACTATCATTCTCAAAGACGATGTTTTATAAAACCTCAGAGGATGGCAAACAGCAAGACTGCTTCAAACCTCTCTGTCCTGGAATTATGGAGTAGAAGTTGGAGAGGGAAGGCCCTATGCCCTTTCTGTGGGAATGTTGCTTGTTACTGAAATGAAAAACTGCTCAGGTTAGGAAAGTGTTGCTCTGCTAGTCCCCCGGGAGGATCTCTAGTTCGTATTTAGTTTTTTAGGATGTGTCATAAGATCACCTAAGTATGAATCACCTGCCTGTGGTATGTAACTCCATCCCAGAAGCTGAGAAACCTGGCTAGATGACCACCATCAAGTTAATTATTTGTATATTAATTACAATTATCTTAGTTGTGCTATTTATAAAACAGGGACATTTTCCTTGCCTGTCCCTTGGGTGGCAAAGGAATTGATATATACAAAGTACTTTTAAGAGTACTGTAAAGCACTTCCTAAGTAAGGCAGGCAGCAAGCACAGTGCCAAGCCCTAAGCAGGAATCAACATGGAGGTTTGAACAGAAGCTCAGCGATGCACTTTCTGGGGCAAGTGGCTTCTTAGCCTGTCACCCACACTGTGGAATGGAGCAGGGTGTGGGAGAGTGCCTTGTGAACTGCCAAGCATGTTGTGGAGTTATGGAGATGTGACCAACATCAACATAGCCTCCTATGTCTCCCCACCCCCTCCATCTTAGGCTGAGCTGAAAAATGGAGCATAGCTCTTGCTGTCCCTCTTCTCAGAAGTATATATCTCAGGGAAGTGAATTTCTTCCCCTTTGAAACAGATCCTGTTTTCTCCTATTGCAGCCATAGGTTCCTTCTCCAATTTCTTCACCCTTGCTTACAAAATGCCAGGGGAGGTGCAGTTGGGAGGACTTGCTAAGGAGGACAAAACCCAAAGGGCCAGGGTACTTCCTCAAAATTGCTCCTCATAGAACTTCTCAGTTGGCAGATTATGGCTCAGCAGCCTCCCACATGGTACTCACCAAACCAACCTGCTCCTCACACTCCATACCCAAGGGTGCCAGCAGACAAGCATAGCCTATATTCCTAGTCATGCACCTCATAGGACTCATTGGCTCAGGTTGGGTAGGTAGGAACAGCTATGTAGGAATGACCCTTACCAGCCTAATGGGGAGACAAGGTAGAAGAAGGTGGATATCTCATCTGGATGTGGAAAAAATATGACTTTAGCAGTTAAATGACTATCAGTGCAGGACTACCAAGCCTATGGAAATAAAAAATATTTCAACCCAGCCAGGGCAGGGAGAAGCCTTGAGGGATGTAATGAGAGCCTGGGAAGAAGGGCACAATCAACCAAAACCCCAGGGAACTTACTCTTGGACATGTGAAACTGGTGCATGAGCCATCCGACACTTTTAGAGTCCATAGAGCACATAAATTAGTACCTCAGAAATCATTTGACTTTTCCAGAGGAGGAGCTTTACTTGCTATCTCCAAAAGCCATGGAAGAAAATTACAAAAACATTATAAGGTTTACTTTAAACTAATTCTATGTTAATCTCAATAAAGAGGGGCCCTTTAAAAAGAAAAAACAGTCCTTTTATCAACACAGGACTGACACTGAGATGAGGCTCAAGTATGCTGATTCCCTTCATCCATTGTGCCCTTTGGGGCACCACTCAGCAGGAAGCAAACAGAAGATGGGACACATTCCTTTACCAGCCCCAGAGTCACCTTCCCACACTTCAGAGCCATCAAGCCCAAAGCTAGTGCATGACTTCATTGCACTCAAGTAGCCTGGATAAACCTAATGTCTTTTTGTCTGTACATCCTAGATTTCCTGGCAAAAATCTCGATTCCCCTACCCTCTGGGATTGGTCCTTGCCCTCTACTGTCCCTCATCCTCTGAGAGGTTGGCCCTTAAATGGGCCTCAGGCAAAGAACTACAGGCTGGGAAGCATTACTTTTTATGGCTCTAAGTGCTGCTGAGTACTAAATCCAGTGCCCTGATAACGTTGGCCTCTCCAAGCTGCTCCTTCCTTGCAGTTCAGCCTGATGAAGCTCAGGGAACAGACTTCTCTCTCCACAGAGGACACACACTGCTAAGGGGCTGCTGTGGCATGGGATCAGTGAAAATCCTTTGTCCCTAGTTGGCTTTCCGTCCTTTTCCTCTCTGTATCTCCCCTGCCTGGCTGGTTTCCCTGAAGAGATCAACTGGTTTCCACTAAAGAAGTATCCACCTTCCTGGGCCACCATGGGGAAGAGTCTGATTAAGATTCACACCAGAGTCAGCGTTCAGCTCCGGTTGACTAATCACTGCCTTCGGCCCTTAAGCGTGCGCATCCTGAGGATGGGGCCCCGGCTCCAGGGTAGGGTCCTGACAACTGTGACCCCCAGCTCATTGGGAGCCACTTCTGGGCAGGGGAGTCAGCTGAAGCAACTCCAAGGTAAAAGACGCACTCCTGTTTTGCTGTGCCACCCTTAGCCTAGATCCTTCCCACAGCACCCACCCCATACACTCCAGTCTAATAAGTTTGATGAAGGGCTGGATGGGTGGTGGTTTCTATAATAGTGAAAACTGAAATTCTTGTTCAGGACTAACCTGACATGGAATAACAACCTTAGAGGTGAGATCTGTTGGGGGAGAAGATTATTTCCTGAGCACTCATAGTGGCCAGGAAGTCTACTGGAAATGTATACCTTTTATCTATATTTACTGAGAGCACCACTAACTCAATATAATATGGCTTCTGATGACTCTCTGACTTGTTCTCTGATGTCACAATGTCTGCCTCTGTCCTTCCCCAACCAGCTTAGAGCTTAATTGTAGGCTAAGCTAAGTTTGCATTGAAGTGTTTACTGGCAGCAATGCTGGTCATGCTTTGGAAGATCTGGCAGTTGGAGTTGTCCTTGTTAGAGGGCAGGCCTTTGAGAGGGTATCAGTGCCCTGTGCTGAGGTTGCAGAGAAAGGAGACAAAGGAATGCTTGGGAAAAAAGCCAAGCCAGCAACATACTACCAGGGCCTTGATGTTTCTTTTTATCAGTGACCCATGACACACTCCAAGATACATATTTCTGTTGTAGCATGTGCCAATGGGGGCATCAAAGAAGAATATTGGGTATATAATAAAGGTCAAAGGAGCATCAAGAGCTCTGGAAGAAGGGACAGGGCTCTTTATTTCATGTCCTTTTCTAACAGTTTCTTGTACAGTTAAGACGTAAATCTCGGGGCTGGGGTTGTATGTAGCTCAGTGGTAGAACACTTGCCTAGCATGTGCGAGGCCCTGGGTTCGATCCTCAGCACCATATAAAGATAAATAAAAGTATTGTGTCCAACTACAACTAAAAAATAAATATTTTTTAAAAAGAATAGCAATAATAATTAAAAAAAAAAAAAAAGACCTAGGTCTCTAAGGCAGGTGTTAATTCCCCCAGAATCCAACTACATGATCAGTAACACCTTGAAATAGAGGCTTAGATTCCATCCTCGGTTTGCCATTAGCAACCAACCACATGACTTCAGGAAAATTTTGTAACATTTCACTCTAATTCATGGAGTTTTTGAAAGACAAAACCAAAGTGCTTTAAAAGTTTAAAACATACAAATTTAAGATTTTAGCATAAGGATAAATGACATACTGCTGGAACATAAGGAGATTCTGAAAGCAGAAGTTGAAAGCCATGGCAAATGGTGAGGGAAAGGGAAGAAAAATGGATAGTGGTTGTCCTGCCGTCATCCTCACCTTCCACCCCTACTCAGAACCAATTCCAGGACTCCTTCCTCTGGAGAATCCTTAACTGCACCCGTGCTGAGAAGGGATCCACCAAGCTAGTCAGGTGGGCTACCTGTTATGAGGGAGTCCAGGAAGCGGAGCCACTCTGTGCAAAGGTTATTGACACCTTTTTAAGAGAGACCTTTGGGCTTCTAGAGCTAATCCTAAACCAGACAACTGCCTAATCAGCCCTGGTGTGCTGGGAACCTGATTCAGTCCGTCAACCTGGTGCATGCATCAGGGTCTATTCAGAGCAACAGAAGGGGATTCGCTTTTCTTGTCATAGGCCACAAAATCCAGGAGAGCTAATTTGGCACTACTGAGATGACCTGGAATAGAAGATGCAAGGTCACCATGCCTGAAACAAGAAGCCACTTTTTGGGAACACTTTGATGTGGTTCATATGTGGTGAATGTGAGCCTGAAGGCTCTGGCCTGGGTGGCTGCTATTCAGTTGAGGGTATAATCAGTTCCTGTTTTTTTCCTGCCAGAGAAACAGCCCTGGGGGAACCTTGGAAGGAGAGAAATTTTCCATCAGAGAAAAAAGAGATAATGAGTAGTTTTAGGGGTCAGAAGAGCAGTATTCCTAATAAATGCCTCATGAGCTCAAGACCTTGCATGCTGGGTTGTTAACAAGGATAAACAGTATTTAGCAATCAGTATTTAAGGAAGCCCAAGTAGGCAGAATACATTCTCCTCCTCCCTTCCCCATTCCTGCCTCTGAGGATTCTCCACCCAAAAGGCAGCCTTCAGATTTCTGAACCCTGGCCTCAGTGCTGTAACAGGGGCAATATAAATGAAATTCAGATCCTCTAACTGGGGCTAACACCAGGCCCAAGAAATTCAAGGCAGGAAAAGCAGAATCTTAAACAAATGAGTCAAATCTATGAGCAAAAAGAAAAATCTTCCAAAATGGCCACTGTGTTTTTGCTGCTGCTTTTGTCCTCTTCTTGCTATGTCAAAACAACGTAGTAGCCACTGCTACTACTACTGGGCTGTGCATCCAATCAAACAAGTATACACTGGGATCCAGAAAGCCTATTCATGTTCTTGTTGCCTTTCCAGGCCTCGAGTCCCTACGGGACAGTGCCCATTCCACCCCGGTGCGTTCTTCTTCCCACGGAGACACCTTTCTGCCTCACGTGAGAAGCAGCCGAGCAGACAGCAACGAGCGAGTAGCTGTGATTGCAGATGAGGCCTACAGCCCTGCAGACAGCGTGCTGCCCACCCCTGTGGCCGAGCACAGTCTGGAGCTGATGCTGCTTTCCCGGCAGATCAACGGAGCCACCTGCAGCATTGAGGAGGAGAAGGAGTCTGAGGCCAGCACCCCAACTGCTGCAGAGGTGGAGGCCCTTGGAGGAGAGCTGAGGGCCCTGTGTCAGGGGCACGGCGGGCCAGAGGAGGAACAGGTGAATAAGTTTGTTTTAAGTGTCCTCCGTTTGCTCCTTGTGACCATGGGACTCCTCTTTGTTTTGCTCCTCCTCCTGATCATCCTTACCGAGTCTGACCTTGACATTGCCTTTTTCCGCGATATACGCCAGACCCCCGAGTTTGAACAATTCCACTATCAATACTTTTGTCCCCTCAGGCGATGGTTTGCCTGCAAAATCCGCTCAATGGTGAGCCTGCTCATTGACACCTGAGAAGTCATGACTCCTCCCAATAACTAGCCAGGTGGACCAAGGAGCCCGGCTACCCATTCCCAGCAATGGGACCCATCGTGGAACCATCGGCACACATATCAAGTCCTCCTTTCATGACTCAAAGTCCACTGCAGCCTAGGAGGGTTATTTCCCAGAAGAAAGGGATAGGCTCACGCCCTGTCTAAACAAACTGGGAAAACTCATTTTCTTCAGAGGTTCTTTCAAGAAAGGCTCAGCAACTCTTTCTCATCTTTCAATTTTGCAGGATAATTTTTGGTTTTGAATTTTGATTTTTCATAGATGTGTATTATTTTGAAAGTATCAAATAAAAATAATTTATTTTACTATTACTGATTACTGCAGTAGTGTCACCTAGCAGATGGGAAGCTAGTTGAAGACAAGAGAGCTGTTGTTGTCCTCTTATTCTGCAGGTTATTTTTCTACTGGTGCCACCAGGTTCTGGGAGACATCACTGCAGCCTCAGCAGGGCAGGCCAGGGGTCTGGACAATGGGGACTGTTTAGATTTTCTTGCCAGACAAAACTTTTTAAAAAGTAAACATCCATGTAGAATGATTAAATGGAAAGTTGCTTCTTATGATGGTCTGAGTTGGATTTTCTTTTCCTTTTTTTTCCCAAATCTGAGCAGAGTGGGCATCTGAAGGGACCACCGGTACAGCAGCAGCACAGCAGGGGTGGGGTAAGTCTGTCCCCTTAGACTAGAGCCTGATGGGCATCACGATGAGTTCTGTATAATGAACTAAGACATCTATGATTTTTTTTCCTGAAGAACCTCAAAACTTTTCTAGTTTTCCAGGGGCATTAAATGACTTCAGTGACGCCAGAGAGAGTACTGTCAGAAATGTTGGACAAAATGTAGTTATATACACAAGAGCTAAGTTACCCAAGAGACTGCTGAAATGCAGAAAACAGTGCTTATTTTGTATATAGTGTAACCCTCCCAAAAAAAGACTTTCGATTTATATTTTAACAGCAAAATGTTATTTTCTTAACTATTCATATTTTGTTTTTACTTTATGGATTAAGAAAATAGAACCTGATGAACTAAACGATGCAAGAAAGAAACTGATCCCGAGAATGCAAAACGTCAGAAAATAGAATTCCAAGATCAACAAACAGCCTTGGAAAGGACAAGGAAAAGAATCTTTTAAAATAAGATTTCTAAGAGATGCTTACAAAAGACAGAAGGTGAACTTGGCAGAGACCAACACTTAGATGTAGAAATGCTGCCCCCTAGGGTCATCCTCCACATCAAGAAATAAGTTCCAAAAAGGTACTTATCCTTGCTGAGGAAAGCCCTGAATGCTCACAGAAGCACAGGTCCACAAAGGGTGAGTGTGAGTCGCTAGGCCCGAGCTCTGCAACTCTTAAAACCATCACACACAAGATCTTGTTCTCATCTCAGGGAGAGATTTCTAAGTCATCTGGGGCCTGAGGACTTATGTGAGCATAATCAGTGGTCATATTCCTGGGACCTACACAATATGCCAACACAGCTGCCAATACAGTATGATGTTGGACAGTCCCAAAAGCAGAACAGAGAGAGTCATTTATTGATTTGATCTCTCCTGTTTTGTACCCTGAAATGATAGAACCAGTTCCATTCAGAATATAACAGCCATGAAAAAATCAGGGCTCTAAGGGGTGAGGGGGGAGAGTGGATTTGTCTAATTTTAAAGATAGATACTTTTTTCATCTAGACTACAGTTCAGGAAACTTCTGAAAAGTAAAGACAGTAAACTTTTTTTTGGTTCTGTCACAATTACTCAACTCTGCCGTCATAGTACAAAAATATGGATTATGTGTGCATGAAGGAGCATATCCGTGTTCCAATACTACTATAAAAACAAGACAGTATGCTTATTTTGGTCCATGGACCATAATATGCCAACCCTGATCTAGACAATAAAACTGACCATTATGGAGCAGAAGAGGGTCAGCTCTTCTCCAATTCCTGGCATGTGTGAAAGACCTAGGCTTTTTCCCAGTGGAAACACTAGGGTTGCTTGTTTACAGGGTGCTTGAACAACAAACCAGCAGAGATGTCTGGAGCCAAGATGAGCAAGATCAAGAACTGGAATGCTAAAACATGGCAAATCAAAAAATGGAAGTGGGCCTATCTGATCATTTTCATACCAGCAACAATTTGGGCAGAATCACAAACATAGTTACCAAGTGATGAGACAAAGTGAGGGAGATCCTAATAAAGATTCACTTAAACCAACTAGCCACTGCCACTTGTCATCTACATAGCAAAGGCTTTATTTAGCACAGGACTAAAGTGAAAAGTAGACCCAGAAATGAAAAGGCTGTCAGGAGACAGGGAGCTGGTGTTAACCTGGATATCTACTGTCTTATGCAACATAGATTACCTTCTAGTGTAGTGCTCCTACCTCAGTCTGTAGAACACGGTGTCTCTATGCAGTGAGTGAGAGCCTTGCCTCGGACCTTTCACATCCACACTAGAGAGATACAGTATCCCATTGCCTGGTGTGTTAACTTGTGTCTAGAATTCTAACAGTGCAGTAGTCCATACCATTTCTAGCAGCTGAACAGAAACTTTTGAGATTTTTTAAGGCTTTTCCCAGAAAATATGGATAGAAAAGTTTCCTTCAATTTGCTTTTCAAATTGTGCTTGAATAACAAACTTCCTTTGTTGGTAACTAGTCTTTTTTGATATCTCCCCACCATTAAAAACTGTTCAAGTTTTTTATCTGGTTTTTCGTGTTCTACTGTGTCTCTCATTTTATCTCACTGTAGAAAAATCAATGGTTTCCATAGCATCATCTTTCAGAGGAAATAACTTTCTGAAGAATAGCGAACTGCATCTTTAAGCAGTAGAGGGTAAACTACCTGCAAATGTGAATTTATTAGTTTCACTTAAAAATAGTTGTTAACCTTTCGTGTGCCAAAAACTTGAGTTACATTTTCCTTCAAAGCAATGTACTTTTTTTCTACATATGCAGTATGTAGTTAGCATAAAATCATTGGTGCCATGAAAATTATTTTTAAACTTAAAATAAATATTTAAATACCATGAAAAAGTGGGCTCTTTGTTTTTTAACTTATATACCATCTCACAGTATCAAAAGTTACTAACACATAGATAAAAGGATACTACCAGTAGGATTTACATAGCTGACTGCTATTCACAATTGGATCATACAAAATAACATATGTCCATCAATTCTCATTGTCCCCCCATCCCAGAATAAATGACTAGAAACTGAAAAACTTTAAATGTGGAATAATTTGAGGTGAATTGGACCTTGTTCTGGTAATGAAAACCATGAAGCTTAAGTAGTTTTCTCAGGATTACCTAGTATGGCTGTTTGCTGGCTGAAGGAATTAAATCTTTGTATCCACAGCCTGAAGCTTGCTGCTTTTCTGAAGAACTTCCTTCACCAAATCTTCTCTGTGAAAAGGAAATTCAAAGACCAGAATACTAAAATAGGACTGAAGCAATTCAGATTCTGTTCATTTCGAATCATCTGTGGTCACTCCTAATCTGACCAAATCTCTGTCTACTCAATACGAGAACAACTCCTTAACAGCAAAAAGGCAGGTCACCTCAAAGAAAACAGCTCCACGGGAATTCAGAGCTTATGAGTTTAGGAGAAATCCAAAAGGTCAAACTGACAGCAAAAGTTTATCCCAAAGGAAAGGAGCAATCATAATACACATATAATTACAGAAGCCACACAGCTGTAAACCAGACTCGAGAAATTACATTACAGATTACAGTTTAAGAATGTCCTAAGGGAGGCAGTTTTTCTTTATGTGCTGTCTAGATGTACACAATTACTCTGTTATAAAGCTTATGACCAAGAAACAAGTGCCTACTCATTATCCGTCCTTCCTGCATTGCCTCAAGAAGGTATAACTCTACTAAGTGAAACTGGATATAAATAGCAGTTTATGATGCTGCAATGGCAAAAGAAACCACAAAAGTCAGGAATTTTCTTGTGTTTATTGCAGAGACACCCCCCCCCCCCATTACTACCAAGTATTCAAAGCTTAAATGATGGTACTAATTTGATCAAGAGTAGTTTTCAGCATCTTAAAAAGAACAATTCCCACAGAACTAACCACTCTGGAAACTATGAAATTAATTGGTATAGAAAAAGGGAAAGGAAGCTTAAAGCCTTCCTTTACTGTTTTCCTAAACAGTTCAGACATAATTCAACCTCATTTAGCTTTACTTTCCATTTTGTAAATTAATGTTTCCATCACACTTACCAATGCTTGTATCATAACACCCAGAAAACACAACTCTCATTCTTTATAAACACCCATAACCTATTAATAAACTAAGTCTCAGAACACTTAAATTTAATTACAGAGAAAATTACTTAGAAAAAAATGTTCAAGGAAAATACTCACTTTATTTCTTTGCTATACAATTACGAGAAGATAATATTTCCTAATTCTTATAATTCAAACATATTGTCTAAGCTTTTAGTTACAAGTCTTTCAGTAGTACTTTGGCAATGAAGAACAATGGAAAATAGATGTTACACAGTAATATTAGTCACTGATTTAGCAACCCCTCTTCCCAACAGTAGGCCCATTGAAATTACCATTAACTTCTGAGAAAATAATTTCTTAAAAAAAAAAAAAAGTAGTATGATATGTCCCAAAATATGAAGAGAAATTAAAGTTATTCAGACTATTAAATCTGAAGAGCTTAAAGACGGACAGACTAGGGCATCGGGACATACTAAGGCAGTAGCTTTCACTTCTAATTAAAAAATTTTTACATCAGTATATACATAAACATAAACCTACATATATATGCATATTAACTAAGTTTTATAAAACAATATTTATTCTTATTATGTTTTCTGTTCTTAAGTAATTCTTCCTTTTTTTTAAACACTACTTCTAACCTCCGACCATTAAACAGACTTCCTATGAAGAGCTATAATTCCTAGTCTTACATTGGAATATAGGTATTATGGCAGATCCCTATATTTCTCAGATCCCTCTCCTAGACTATCCTCCTTGGCTGTGTCTCAGAAGCCGTTCAGAGGAAGAGGAAAAGCAAGGCTCCACATACCCAGACTAAATTGTTCTTAGCAATTTTCTTGGCATTTCATATAAATTTTTTTGGGGGGGTGGGGTATCAGGAATTGAACTCAGGGGCATCTGAACACCAAACCACATCCCTAGCCCTATTTTATATTTTATTTAGAAAGCAGGGTCTCACTGAGTTGCTTAGCACCTTGCTTTTGCTGAGGCTGGCTTTGAACTTGTGATTCTCCTGTCTCAGCCTCCCAAACTGCTGGGATTATACACGTGCGCCCCCACGCCCGGCTTATATAAAATTTAACTGAGAGGAAGGTGAAAAAAAAAAAAAAAAAAAAAAAGTTCTTGTTTTTAAAAACTAAGTTTCAAAATCATTGAGTTAGAAGACCTTTCAGGACTCCTTCCAGCATATAAGCCTAAAAATAAACATTCACTACAAACTTAGAAAATAAACCACAAATCTATATATCATTGTAGACTAAAAATTACTATCATTATATAACAAAAAGTTAATACTGATCATTCAAGCTTTATAATTTATCTTGTTAGACTTTCTCAACATACTGCCTGATTAAAAGTGCTAAAAGCATCTCAGCCTCTACTCAAATTCCCTCTCCATGCCTGAGAAGCATCTTCTGAGGCTTCTCCCTTACTAAATTTAGTATATTCTGCTCATAGTTCTTATTAATAAAGCAATTTTATATTTTATAAATATAACACCAAGTAAACACACTAAGCTATGTGTATCATTAGGTTTCTTAGTGATGAATTTGAACAAATAGGTATACCTACCTAGAAACTAAGTAGCTTTCTTAATTCATAAAAACATGTAACTTCCCACTGGAATTACCTCCAGCCAGAATATACCGAGTTGGGTGCATGACATTGATGGAACACACAGAGGCAAGACATTCTCCAAGAAAAGAATGCACCCTCTTTCCTGTCTCATGGAAGATTTCCACTCGTCGTGGATGGGCCATGCTGCCAACTAAGATACAATCTTCTTGTTTAGGGTCCCACACGGCTTGGAACCGGGTCAGCCATCGTCCAGTGATAGTGTTGTGCCTAGATGAAGGGAAAAACAACAGTACTTTGTAAAAAATTAGTGTTGAAATAACTCACAGTACAATTGGGCAGAGGGTAAAGATGGCATTGTAACAAATGCTAGTTTTCTCTTTTAATGACAAGTTTCTTCTCACCAATCTTATCTCATCCTCCTACAAGTCTGAAACTCAGAAAACATGAGGTCTTCCTCAACTTTGAACTTCTGGTACTGAGCAGAGTTATTTATGCTCAGAGGATAGTAACCAAGTGACTATCAAAATGGTACCTTCCAGCTGAGGTTGTGGCTTAGTGGTAGAGTGCTCATCTAGCATGCACGAGGCTCTGGGTTCAATCCTCAGCACCACATAAAAAATGTAAAATAAATATAAAAAAAAAATATATATATATATACTGTGTCCATCTAATACTAAAAAATAAATATTAAAAAAAATGGTACCTTCCTTGCTCACTGTTCCTAGATCAATGTACTTTTTTCTTATAAGCATATCCAAAGAAAAGTCCTGAAAATAAGAAATCTATAAACTAGGTTATTTCTTGCTTTAACAAGATCTGCCACTTTCCCTATTACATTCCCCTGACATCTGAACTTAAGACCATTTTATATGCCATACAATTTTTTTTTTTTTGCTATCACAGTTCATACAACTTTAAAATAAAAAAAATACATTTAAAGCTGGGCAAACTGGTGCACTCCTGTAATCCCAGTGGCTCAGGAGCCTGAGGCAGGAGGATCACAAATTCAAAGTCAGCCTTAGCAAAAGCAAGGCACTAAGCAACTCAGTGAGACCCTGTCTCTAAATAAATTACAAAATAGGGCTGGGGATGTGGTTCAGTGCACTTGAGTGAACTCAAGTGCCCTTGAGTTCAATCCCTGGTACAAAAAAAAAAAAAAAATACATTTAGGTCTCAAAGAATAAATCACAAGAGAAATTACAAAACATTGAAGACAAATGAAAATGACAACACAACATACAAAATTTATGCATGCAGTGAAAACAATACTAAGAGATAAATGCTTATATTAAAAAACAAAAACAGGGCTGGGGATGTGGCTCAAGCGATAGCATGCTTGCCTGGCATGCGTGAGGCCCGGGTTCAATCCTCAGCATCACATATAAACAAAGATGTTGTGTCCGCCGAAAACTAAAAAAATAAATAAATATTTTAAATAAATTCTCAAAAAAAAAAAAAAAAACAGGGCTGGGGATAGAGTTCAGTAGTAGAGTGCTTGCCTAGCATGCATGAGGCCCTAGGTTCAACCCACCAAAATAAAGGAAGAGAAATATCTCAAATCAATAACTTAAGCCTGTAATTCCAAGACTCAGAAAAAGAACAAACTAAACCCAAAGTTAGCAGAAGAAAGAAAGAAAACAAAGTTGAGCACAGAAATAAATAAAAACAACAGGGAAAAAAATCAGGTAAACTAAGAGATGTTTTTTAAAAAGATCAACAAAATTGGCAAACCCTTAGCTAGGTTAACCAAGAAAAAAAATTCAAAAAAAATAAAATCAAAGAGGGAACATTACAACTGATGTCACAAAAAGGATTTTAAGAGAATACTATGAACAATTATAAGCAAACTGGATAATCCAGAAGACAAATTTCTAGAAATATAACCTAATAAGACTTACTCCTAAAGACATAAAAACTCTAAACAGTCCTATAATTTTATAACAAGGAGATTGAAGCAGTAATCAAAAACCTTCCAAAAGAAGTACAAAGCCTGATGGCTTCACCAAAGAATTCTACTAAATACTGATAATAATTGATACCAGTGCTTCTCAGATTTCTTCAAAGTATGGAAGGGAACACTGCCATACTCATTCTGAGGACAGCCTCACTCTGATACTAAAGCCAGACAAATATACAAGAAAACTATAGACCAATATCCTTGATCAATACTGATGTAAAAATCCTGAACAAAATAGCAAACCAAATTCAACAGAGCATTAAAATAATTACACATCATTAGCAAGTGGGATTCAAGGATGGTTCCACCATCAATTTAACACACTATTGAAAAAAAAACAAAACACACTATTGTACTAGAATAAATAAGAAATAAATAAAGAAAAGCATATGATTATCTCAATTGATGAAGAAAAACCATTTGACAAACTTCAATGCATCGTCATGCTAAAAACACTCAACAAACTAGGAATAGAAGGAAACTATATCAACAAAATGAAAGCCATACCTGAAAAGCTCAAAACCAATATGTTCAATAACAAAAGACTTTTAAGATTTCCTCTGAGATCAAGATTAAGACAGGGTTGTGCTCTCCTGTCACTTCTATTCAACACAGGACTAGAATTCTAAGCCACCATAATTAAATAAGAAAAAGAAATGAAGAAATAAAATTACCTGTTTGCAGAGGACATGATCTTAAATGTAAAAAAAAAATTAAAGATTCTATGCAAAAAAAAAAAAAAGTGTATAATAAGCAACTTTACTAAACGAACACATAAAAATTAGTTGTTTAAGCCAGGCAAGGTGGCACATGCCTGTAGTTCCAGCTACTCAGGAGGCTGAGTCAGGAAGACTGCTTGAGCCCAAGAGTTAAGGGCCAACCTGGCAATATAATGAAACCTCCTCTCTTTAAAAAAAAAAAAAAAAAAAAAAAGGAGGGGGTCTACTGGGTGTAGTGATGCATCCCTGTAACCCCAGCAACTCGGGAGGTTGAGTGGCAGGAGGACTGCAACTTCAAGGCCAGCTGGGGCAACTTAGTGAGGGCCTCTTCAAAATAAGAATAAAAAGGGTTAGAGATGTGGACTAGTGGTTAATTTTCCCTGGGTTCAATCCCTGGTACCAGAAGGAAAAAAAGAAAAATTCATATGGGAGCTCAAATAGTCAAAGCTATCTTGAAAAGAAGACAAAGTTGAAGACCTTTAATTGTTAATTTCAAAACATGATACAATATGGTAATACAAGATAAAAAACAAATAGGGCTGGGGTTGTGGTTCAGTGGTAGAGCACTTGCCTAGCACAGGTGAGGCACTGAGTTCAATCCTCAGTACCACATACAAATAAATTAAATAAAGGTATTGTGTCCATCTACAACTAAAAATATTTTTTAAAAAAGGACAAACAGGATTACTTCAAACTAAAACTCTTCTTGCACAGCAAAGGAAATGGTCAACAGTGAAGAGACAAAATATTTGCAAACTGTCTGACAAGGTATTAATATCCAAAACATACAAGCAACCACCCCCCCCCCAAAAAAAAAAAAAGAAAAAGAAAAAGAAAAAAGAATCTGATTTAAAAATGGGCAAATAATTTGAATAGACACTTGTCAAAAGAAGATATATAAATGGTCAACCAGTATATGAAAAAATGTTCTATATCACTAATCATCAGGTAACTGCAAATCAAAACCACAATGAGATATCATCTAACTCCATTTAGAATAACTATAATCAAAAAGACAAGGGCTGGGACTGTAGCTCAGTGGTAAGAGCGTTTGCCTTGCATATGTTAGGCTCTGGGTTTGATCCTCAGCACCACATAAAAATAAATATACTGTGTATACCATATAACACTATTTAGCTATAAAAAGTACAAAATCCTGTCATTTGCAACAACATGGATAGAACTGGAGATCATAATGTTAAGTGGAATAAACCAGACACAGAAAGACAAATACCACATGACTTCACTCATCTGCAGGACCTAAAATGGCCAAGCTTATAAAACTAGTGACCAGAAGAGTAGCTACCAGAGGCTGGGAGGAGGAGATGGAGTTCTACCTAATAGATACAAAGTATAGCCAGACAGAAGAATAAGTGTTGGTGTCTTATTGTACAGAGAGTAATTATAGTTAACAATATTGTACCATACAATCCCAAATGGCTAGGATTTTTAATCTTAATACAAAATGATAAATGTTTGAGATGAATAACTAAGTATCCTAGTTGAATAATAATATACAATGTATAAATCATCTATAGCCCATAAAGATATACAATTATGTATCAATAAAATTTTTTTAAGAAGCATAATACAAAGGCAGGGGTTGTGGCTCAGTGGTGGAGCGCTTGCCGAGCGCTTGCCTAGCGCGTGCGGGGCCCTGGGTTCGATCCTCAGCACCACATAAAAATAAATAAAATAAAGATATTGTGTCTAACTAAAAACTAAATATTTTTTTAAAAAGCATAATACAAGGCAACAGTAATTAAGACAGTGTGTTACTGGAATAAAGATATAAATATAGACCAGGGGAACAGAATAAATACCTCAGAAATAAACCCTCAGGGGCCAAGACCACAACAATAGGGAAATGACAATATATTCAACAAATAATGATGGGAAAACTGGTATTCATGTGCAAATGAATAATCCTCGACTTATACCAATTACAAAAATTAAGTCAAAGTAGATTAAAAATCAACCTGAGACCTAAAGTTATAAAATCCTAGGAAAAAAACACATGAAAAGCTTTAAGGCATTAGATTTGGCAATGATTTCTTGGATATGATACAAAAAGCATGGACAACAAATGCAAAAGTAGAGAAATGGGATTATATCACACAGAGAAACTTCTGCACTTCAAAACAAACAATCTACAGAGTGAAAGACAATCTAAAGAATTTGAATAAATGTTGGCAAATCATGTATTCAATAAGGGGTTAATGTCCAGAATACATAAAGAACTCCTATAACTCAACAAATAAAGCAACAAAACCAAATAACTCAATTGGAAAACGGGCAAAGGACTTGAATAGATATTTCTTCAAAGAAGATATACAAATGGCAAAGCCTAAAAAAAGATAATCAAATCACTAATCATTAGACAAATGTAAATCAAAACTACAATGGGTAAGAATCCCTTGAGGCCTGGGGTTGTGGCTCAGTGGTAGAGCGCTAGCCTGTGTGAGGCCCTAGGTTCGATCCTCAGCACCACATATAAATAAATAAAACGGAATCCCTTGACACCCACCAGGATGAAGAGAAAATGAACCCTGGGCATTCCTGGTGGGACATGTAAAACAGTGCAACCAATA